ACAAGGGTTTCTACGCCACGACTGCCTTGATCGCCGAACGCTTCTGGTGGCCGCACATGAGGCAAGACATTTCCTGGTTTGTTCGGACCTGTCACCTTTGCCAGATTCGCCAGACTCGCAACGTCCTCATTCCCCCGACCGTCGCTACGCCTGCACCACTCTTCGCGAAGATGTATATGGACACCATGCACATGCCGACCGCCGGTGGTTTCAAGTATCTCGTGCAAGGCCGCTGTTCGGTATCACACTACCCCGAATTCCGGATGCTGCGACGCGAAACAAGCTCAGCTCTTGCCGACTGGATCTTCGAGGATATCCTGTGCCGATGGGGAACACTGGTAGAGATCGTCTCCGACAACGGACCAGCATTCGTCAAGGCGCTCGACCAGCTAGCAAAGAAGTACCACGTTCGGCACATTCGCATTTCGGGCTACAATTCCCGCGCCAACGGCATCGCCGAACGACCTCACTTCGACGTTCGGCAGGCTCTGTTCAAGGCCGTTGATGGAGACCAGGCCAAGTGGAATTGTGCAGCTCATTTCGTATTCTGGGCTGATCGCATTACTGTTCGGCGCCGAATGGGTTGCTCGCCATACTTCGCAGCGACCGGAACCCATCCCCTCCTTCCCCTCGACATTGCCGAAGCCACATATCTTCTACCACCACCAACCACGGCCCTCAGCACCACCGACCTCATTGTTCGACGTGCCATCGCTTTGCAGAAACGCCGATCGGACCTCGCCCACCTTCGCAGCTCGGTAGTCGGCGCCCATGTCCAGGCCGCCATCCGATTCGAACAACAGCATTTGGCCACACTTCGCGACTTCAATTTCCACCGAGGCTCACTTGTCCTGATGCGCAACACGGCCATAGAAAAGGCGCTCAATCGGAAGATGCGTCCACGGTATTTAGGACCTTTGCTAGTAATTTCTAGGAATCGGGGAGGAGCGTATATTTTGGCCGAACTCGATGGATCGGTCTTTGATCGGCCAGTTGCAGCATTCCGCGTTATTCCTTATTTTGCTCGCAGGTCTCTGAAGCTCACCGACCTTGAAGCCCTCCTCGACATCTCGCAGGAACGCCTTCGGGCCATGGAAGAATCCCGATCGAGCGACGACGACGCCGAAGATGATAGTGCCGATGAAGATACCGACACCAGCTCAGTCCGATCGGCGGAGGACGACAATGCGGCTTCGGTGACCTCCGACTAGATCCCACCCTCCCACCCTTCGCTCTTTTCGGTCGGTGACTGGGGACAGTCACGATTTCAGTAGGGAGGAGGATGCACAGATATACCCATTCCTTATCTTCGTTTATTCGTCACAGACATGGACTGACGCCCAATCGTTTCCACATCTCTTAGTACTTTTACCACCGACCGATCGCCGACCGAATAGTCGGCACTCATTTTCCCCATCACTCCTTCAAGTACCAAGCCGCATTGAAGACTTCTTCCGATTTGCGCAAAACCATAGGGTTTTATGCCTGTGATGACATACTGAGGCTTCCCCTAATATTCCAATTTATTTTCTTCATTTTGCCGAACGCTTCGCTTACAAGTACATTCACACAGTCATTTCGCCGACCGATTTCCCGAACGACACCTCTAGTCTTCGCCAAACGTCTCGTTCATCTCAGGACAGTCCTTTCACTGTTATTTTACATTTTACTGTACTACCGACACCTTGAAACTACTTTACACATCGGGAACAAAGTCGCCCAACACCGACATTCCCGAATCCTCGGCATCCGACGAGTCTTCCACCAACACCACATCCGAAACCGCCGATCCACCCGAACGCGCCTCAAGAACCTCCAACTCACCCTGCCACATCGCGATCGAACGCGCCAGCGAGGCACGAGTACCTTCGGCCACAGCAATGCGGTACCGAAGCTCCGACGCGATGCCTTGCGCGACGACAGGAGACAGGCGAGAGGAGTCGGGCAGGGCGGGGACAGCAGAAGAACGGGGACGGGAAGGGGCCAGGACGGTACGGGTGGTGGTTGGGAGACGCTGGACGGGCTTCCGAACCCGAACAGCTAGACAAGACGATGAGCTCACAGCCCAGCAATGACGAATTGATTACTCACCTTTAGTCCGCGCGATACTCTCGCCGACAGATCGTTCGGGGATGAGTACCTCGACCTTACGCTTCTTAGTCGGGCGCGAGGGTTCCGGCTCCCCCGACTTTTCGGCCGCCTTCGCTTTCGACTTCCCTTTCCCCTTCGACTTCCCTTTGTCCTTCGGCATCCACCCGGGCTGGAAGCTACAGCCTTTCTGCTCCTTGGAGCACTTCGTACAAGAAACTTGGCCGGCCCTCGTGTAGCACCGAAAAGCTACAGTGGTAAACTCGGTGGTGCACCGATGGCACGCGTATTCGGCCTAGAAGAAAGAAGGGTCAGCAAGCAACAAAAGGCGGCAAGAGGGAGGGGACTTACGAGGACGTCATCCGGCAACAAGTCCGGGGGATCCTGCAGCAACTTACCAGCTCCGTTCCGCTCCACAGGAGGCCGAACAGACGACATTCGGCCTGTGCCAGGACCCAGAGGAAGCACGACACGTCCAGCGGTCGGCGTCAGTTGACGCGCGAACTCGATGACAACGGCAGCAGCCGATTGCTTGCCCTTCGCGTCAGTCGGGGCAGCGGCGGCGACCGGGCCCACGCTCATTCGGTCCAGGGCATCGGTTGCGGACGCAAGCTCCGAATCATCGGCGGACGGGTCGGGATGAGAAGAGTCGGCGGACGGATTGGGACGAGAGGAGGACGCGGCGGTAGAAGGAGAAGGGGAGCGAAAGAAGAGAGGAATGGGAAAGACGGACTCTGACTCCAGCTCGGCCAGCTGACGATCACCCTGTTCAGGATCGAGCAACCCGTTGAACATGGCCTCCACCAAGGCCTCCCGACGCCGCTGACGATCTTCTTCGGCCAACCGACGGGCAGCGGCAGCCCGCATCGCCTCGGCTTCCTCAGCCTCACGTTCGGCGACAGCGACCCGCGCAGCCTCCTCTGCCAGGGCCTGTTCTTCGGCCGCTTGTTGCTGTTGCTGCGCTGCAAAGCGCGCCGCACGCTGCGGCAAGATGCGCGAACCCCAGGCAAGCCAGTCGTCGGTGGCAACATGATCGAGGCCACTCTCAGCCTCGGCGACCCAGGCCGCGAGTTCGGGCACGTCCTGCCCACGCGCCGAACGATCGAAAACAGCCTGCAAGGACGTCAGCAGCCAGCAGAAGGCAAAGGGACGGACCGACTTACCACTCGTTTGGCGAACCCCTGCGCCCAGGCCTCGTAATCTTCGTACTCGGCGGCGCCGTCGGGAAGAGCGAGCATGTACTCCCCGAGCTTGGTTTTGAGGACAGAGAGGATGGAGGACATGTTGGAAGGCCAAAAGGATCGGACGAGGAGACGAAGCGGCAGGAGGATGGCGATGAAGGACTTAGTCGCTGGAGAATCAACGATCGGCAGGGGATCGTGGTCACCTGACAAAGCCCCATGCCACTGCGCTCGGCAGAGGCCGCGATACGCGCCACCGCTTTTTGCCGACACAACTCTCACGCCAGCGTCTAGCTTGGGCGCTAGGACTCAGCCACCCCTTCACCTAATCAGTTGCCACGCCACGGGACTTTGCCGACTCCGCTTCAATCACTGTTGCGCACGCCACAGCTAGTCTTCCCACGCCACCGCTCATTACCGATCATTTTCCCACGTAACTTGCCACATCGCCACTTATTTTCCACGCCACTTTTCCCACGCCACTTTTTCCGCTCCAACTCATAGCCACCGACCACTGACTGAGGACAGTCAGGATTTCAGTAGGGAGGAGATGATGAGCATGCACCCGCGCTAGGGTCCGAGGGAGGTATTCGGGAAGCTTTGGGGAGACACCGAACAGCGCTAGACAAGTACCGAAGACGCCGACTATTACCGAACACGGTCGGTCCCTACCCGACCGACGACAAGCCACCGAAGGACGTTCGGCAGCACTTGGGTCAGTTCGCCCACACTTCACGTACTTACCATGACCGCATAGGAGTGTTACGATAGATGTTTACGAGATCGGAGCCAGTATTCCGTATCGGCCGATGTCCTCCGTGAGTCGGTCGGTCCTTATCGCTTATCTTCCTGACTTCCGCATGGTCGGTCAAACGCGATCTTGCACCATTGCTTGGCCACCCTGGTCGTACGATACCTCTTCTTTATTTTTCATTGGCTCTCCAACGCCTGTTCCTGCTACCTACGCTCGGGCGACGGATCCCGAACGTTCGGGATTTCGACATCACTGATTACCTTTTACCCTATCACCTTTGGAACCCATATGGACATCTCACCTACCTTCTTATCTTCTCTGATCGCTGGGGCTTGGCGCCCATTCGACATCTACTCTCATTTCTTGTTTAATATTTTACTTAGGGGCTCTGTTTACTATAAAAACCTACATACAACTCTGGAATAAACCAGCTTTCGCACCCCACAGTTCAGAGCTCATTCGCACTCGTTTCAACCATCGAAATCGTCTTCATCGACTCCCGAAAACTTGTCATCCTCGTCGTTCGGCCTCATTCGCGTTCGTACTCGTCTCTTCGCTCGTACCCCCCATCCTCCCTCGTATATTGTCAGAGTCCCGTGTGGCTCTTGAAGCACGTAGTTGTCAGTCGCGACACTACCTTCTCGTTACCGACCGAATCCCCGACTCGACCGACCGAACGTTCGGTCGGTGTTCGGCGCAGTCCCGAAACCGTTCGGGCGCTATAATCTCATACTCCCCGTTGTTTCTCAGTACGCCATCGATTTCTAAAGTCATCACTAACAATTCCTTGTGTATTAGATACTAGCTCCAGCACCCCCTGCATTAGAGGTTGTTTTGGTGTTGTGCTCGGCACTTAGAGCCACCTCTAGCATATCACCGTATGCGCAGAGAAGTCGGAGATGGGCAACATCAAACTGCGCGCTCGGTTCGGGCGTTCTAGGACCCACAGTGAGCAGCTCTGTGTTGCGACATGCGGGGTTGTTCTTGGAAGAGCGACTTTCTACGGCTCAGAGGCAGTCAATGGTGTTCGCATGAGTACCTTTCTTGGTTTGTGTCGATTATGTACTGAATATTATCATAGTTATTCCTTCGTACACTGTTTCCGACTGCCCGATCCGTTCCAAACGTTATCTTCTATGATAACAACTGTCATCTCAAGCGACACATCACAAGGCTTCAAGATCAACATTTCGGGACCTGTGCTCTACCCGTCGACGTCTTTCACATGAAGTCGAAGCACAAGGAGTCAGATGATTTCTGTGGCCAGCATTGTAATCCGGCACTCTTTGAGGAGCTTATGGTGGTAAGTGGCGGTTTAATTCTTCGGCAGCAGAGATGACGAATGCATGGTTCGGAGGGTTTCATTCTATTGTGCGAGAGATGCGTAGGGATCAGTATGACTTTTTCCTAGACGAGATGATCAGACGACGGAATAATATGATTGTCCGTGGTCTTATGTCTCGTAGGGTTGCATGTTACCAGATCCCGTGTTCGTATTTACTTGGGAAATAGGCTCTTAGGTTCTGAACTATACATTGAAAATGATTAAATTGAATAGATGTAATGTATGTCAAATGAGAGCGTGAGGTACATCGAAGACTAATCAAAAGATGTGGGAAGATGCGTAGTGGAAGGGAAGGGGTTGCACGATAGAAGGGAAAGATTTGCACGATGGAAGGAGAGGATTTGCACGATGGAAGGAGAGGGTTTGCATGATGGAAGGGAATGGTTAGGAAATGGTTTGCACGATGGAAGGGAAGGGATTGCATGATGGAAAGGAAGGGTTGCATAGGGTCAGTAGGCGCATAGTTGTTTATACATGGCATGTGTCTCATAAAAGGATGAATATACAACTCACCATCTTTAATCCTCTCCGCGTTTGTCGTTGACCCTTTCCCCAACATCTAATGAGCTGTCTTCAGCCTCGACAATTACTCTCAAAATCCGCACAGTGGCCTGCAGCTCGCGGAAATCTAGTTCATCGTTAGTTGGGTGGGCCACCATCCCATATGAGGAGCTTGCGATCTTTATCTCTATGGCGTGCTCCCGTGTAACGTTGAGGTCTTCTTGTATGAAAAAGACAGTTGCCTCCGGGATGAGCACGCGGTTTGTAAATTCCCAAGCCGGTATTGTCCAGACTGTATGCTCGTGAGTAAGCTCCAACAAGGCAAGCAGGCTCCAAAACATAATCTCCTTCCCCTTGAGTCCATAGCTATAGAGACGTTTCCAATCAAAACTCAGCACAAAACAATAAAAAAAACACGCACTATCCAGTCCCCACTGCCTCGAGAGACTCATATTCACCCTGAATACTGAAAGTGTTGTTGCTATTCTTCATCACCAACAACTCCATAAGCTCTGTGTAAAAGGGACTAGCGGTTGGGTCCAGCATGATTAAGCGCAGCTCGACATAGTGATTGACGATGCGATGAGGAAGAATATCAAAGTCAATGGCCGGCCAGTGCGGCTCATCGGACTTTTTCGAAGCCTTGAGCTCAAGTCTATGGCGCTCACAGTGCTCACCAGTCCAGTGGTGAGGATACACCTTCAGATGCAAGGCATGGGGATTGTCAGAGATTCCACCGAAAGGATCAGGCTTGCTGATCACATCTAGATTTCAACGAAGTTCCTGGAGAGTAGTGGAAGGGAATTCAGGATATGGCTCGTCGCAGTAAGGGCAGAGAGATTGGGAATTGGGTTCGTCATCCTGATCTTCCTGATCTTGCTGTGTCACTTGTACGCACGTGCTACAAGGTTGCTCTTCATTCCTGCCGTTTACTATCAGTCTGTCAAGACTATCTATCGTCAAAAGGTGAGGCCCGAGACTCTCCTCCTTCTCCGTGTCATGGGTAATTGTGTTTGCAGCAAACGATTCATCACCTGTGTCTTCCTTGACCATCTCAGCATCCGATCTCTCCAATTCTTCAAGCGTTCCAGCTTCTGCAATTGATCGGGTGATGAAGCGAGTCCAAGTACCACGATTTGATTGTCCTAACTTGCGGAATGTTGCCTCAAGATCCCTGTTTCTCTGGTAATCGTTGTTTGCTTTGTTATAAGTTGATTTTGCAAATGGCTGACCCGGAAAAACCTTTCTGAAGGCATCCTCTTGCTTGATACGCGGGTTCCGCTCCCTGGACAATTCCACCATCTCCTTCAACCCATCGAAGATGTCGATGGCATAATAAGAAGACGGCCATGCTCGTGTATCGCCACGAGTCCTTGTCGTCGCAAGAGGAAACCTTTCATTGGTACTAGGAGCGGTTCCGAGAGCAGTCCTAGCTTTAGAATTGTTCTGGAGTCTAGATGATGCCTACTGAGATGGACCAGCTGTATGATAAGGTGAGAATGATCTTGTTTTCGAGCCCTCCCTTGGCTGAATTGAGGTGCGCGTCCGCTTAAGGCCTACTGTCAAATCTCTCGTCTCGGGGCATATAGTCGACTCTCTTGTTTCGGGAATCGTCGGTAGCACGAGCTTAGGGGACAAGGTTGCCTTTGGCGATGCCTGAAACTTCAACAGTGCCGGCAGAGGTTTGGACATATTTCCTCCCACACCACGGAGGAGATCACTTGCTTTCCACTTCAATCCCGCTTGAGCGCCTGGGCGAGAACGGATAAACATCTCATTGTCGACATCCATTATTGGTCCTGGTGACGAAAGGGAGTGGAAATTCCGATAGGTGGCTGACAGAACCCGTTTAGCATTGCCATACGTTGTTCTAGAAGCATCAGGGCTAGGAGCGCTGAACCGCCTTTCCCCCGCTGCAGAAGGGCTTCGTGTCGGTGTGGGATGATTCATTCACTGGATATGTTTGGGAGTCCTCGGAGAATGTACGTTCGTGCTAAGAATAGGAGCCTGACTTCGAGTTGTGGATACCGGTGATGCTCGTATACGTTTTGGTGAGTTCTGGGTACTTGTTTTGTCGTCCTCAAATGGTGTTTGACTCCTCTTTCCTCCATGTGAAGAGCTCTTCCTGACTCTCGCTATTTCCTCATCTAGCCGTGGGCAATCTTCGAGCCGTGGGCCATTGATTCCATTGGGAAGTATCCGAAAGAGCAAAGTTTCTTCTGCCTGTACCTGGTAAGGCTGATCGATGGGAAGGCAGTCCCAGCGATCACGATCCGCGTTGTACACCTCAATACAAGAAGGAGGCGCTGAGCTTCCGTCTGTCAAGATCCCCTCAAGGATATTGGGATGATCGTTTATACGAAAGAATGGGAAAGATTTCAATGACACAGGGTATCCGAATGGGAGGCAGCCATTCTGTCGTGATCGTAAGTATCTATGACCCACAATTCATCATTCATGCTCACCTCCTTCCATATGATAGCCATTATAGTCTGCCGTGCTTGAGCCTCCAACTCAAGATTCATCTGCTTTCTTTCCGCAGCATGATCCTTGGCATCGGCCGCAGCATGAAGTTTGGCTACCCATTCCGGAGAAGTCTTTTGCCAGAGCATTGAGATTGGCTGTGCATAACCAGATGCAGAAGGACTGGCTGTCGACGTTGACAAAGCAGCATGCAAGGTGGGTGGTGCGGTTTGTGATGCGGGTGGTACCATGGCTATGGTAGACTGGGTATCTGTAAGTGATGCGTTGATCTGTTGTGCCGACACTGATTGTGAAGCAGGCAAGACGCTAGAGATTGTGGTCGTGGGCAGATGCATGGATACTGTGCTAGTACTGGCCGGCAGCTGCGACGTGCTCGTCCCGGTGGGTGCCAATGTGGACGACCTCCCCATGTTCTTGCCCTTGTGCCGATGACCACGTTCCGCACATTCGAGTCGCTCATTCCCATTTGCCTGGGCAGCGAAAGCAGCCTTCTGACAGCAGCTCTTGCAAAGCAGGTATGTGCACTCGGCATGCCCCTTTGACCGACTATTCTTGGTGTGACAGCCTGGACGAGCACAAAAAATTCCTCCTCTAGGCCGTGCCAATGCAGTAATCTGAGACTCTCTAGAACCTTTGGACCCAATCGGTGCGTGAATTCCTGCCTGATTGTTCGATAAGCCCACTGCCTGATGATTCAACGGCGGGCCTGCAGCTTGATTGTTTACTGAGCCCGCAACCAGGTCCACGTCATTACTTGTAGCAGTGCGAGTGCTGCATTGCACAGTATTACTCGATTGTAAATTAGAAGGACCATTAGTGCGTGGTCCCGAGCGCCAATAGTGAGCATACGGTGACTTCGGTAGATACATGTCGAACATTGCTGGATCTTTGTTTATGCCATCGACAATTGCCTGTGCAACAACATCTTCTAACGGGTCTGTATGGAAGATAACGGCCCTGCAGTGTTTGTTCGAACACTGATGGTCGTCAGTGACACACAATCACATAAGAAGTGCCTGCATCACGTACCAACTGCTGAATCCAGTTCTTATTAGCAGTATTCCCTGTTCCCTTGTTAACAGATAAGCCTGCAAGCGCGTTTTGGCACAGATTGCAGCGTCCGTGGTAGAACATGTTGTGAGAATAGTAGAGAGCTCCAGCACACTTGGAGCTGTTGACGAGCGGGAAGTATGGTCCATAAGTCTAATGTTTCATGCAAAAGTCGGCCCCTCACGGAGCAGTGCTGCCGGGGAGGGCAGGACACGGCGGCCAAGGATGTATGAGATAAGCAGTCCAATTTTTGTCTACGTGTCCAAAAGTCCAAAGCCCACTTGTCTATAATCACGAGGTCTACTAGTCTATTAGCCTAACCTCTCACCGGTGGGCCATTCTGCGAATATTACCGTGACGTGTACACACATCAGCCGGAGATGGCCGGTCACAGCCGGAGATATCTGGTTGTCTCAGTACACCCCCAGGACCTCGTTCTGAACCAAATCAGCTTTTGATGGATAAGATGGAGTCAGTCCGATGCTAACACAGACTCCGAATTGCCCGCATGTAAACCAGACCAAACGAGCCAAACCCAGGTCAGAGCCAAAGGTATTCAGATCTATCTCAGCATCATCAAAAGCAACTTATCCCAATGGTTGCACGTGGTAGATGCAGGTTAATCCTGATATAGACTTATCATCCCACTTATCATGCTTTATATGTAAATAAATTTGCCATTAACATACAGTCATGCCCTTCTTCATTGCTTGCCAGGCAGTACCAAAAACATCTGCCTGTTCATACAGCTCATCCCCTGGTTAGAATCTTCAGCCCTTACACTGATCCCATTGTCGGCAGAGCACCGGAGGCGCCGCCTCGCTGCTCAAACACACTCCCATGCACCGATGGTCTCTTGAGCTGCGTGACAAGCCTCGATCTTGAACTGCTTCATCCCATGTTCGACTTTCTTCCTTGCCTCAAAGAACTAACCACACAGTCAGTGTTGTTGTGAACAATAAATCATGAAAACTCACCCCTGCACTTGCCCATGACCCCATATGATAAGCCAGTTAACCCTGAATCATGAGACTTCCTGAGAGTCAGAATCCATATCCTGCAGCAGCAGAGAACATCCCAAGGCACAGAGTCCAGTTACCAGCCAGCCATATCCAAGCATCCAGTATTCAGGCAAGTCCAAGCATCCAGTATCCGGGCACTGAGGTAAGCACCAGTGGAAGTCATGGTCGGAGATCCAGTGTCCGAGAGCTAGCCCAGAAAAAATGACACACTCCAGTCCAGTAGTAATCAGATAGTGAGTCCCCAAGAAATAGAATCCCACACTGCCTCAAGAGTGGGATGTAAGTCCATGTTGCAGCAACACCAAACACCGGTGATGAGCATGCACCCACGCTAGGGTCCAAGGGAGGTATTTGGGAAGCTTTGGGGAGATACCGAACAGCACTCGACAAGTACCGAAGATGCTGACTTTACTGAACACGGTCGGCTCTTACCTGACCGACAACAAGCCACCGAAGGACGTTCGGCAGCACTTGGGTCAGTTCACCCACACTTCGCGTACTCACCATGACCACATAGGAGTGTTACGATAAGTGTTTACGAGATCAAAGCCAGTAGTCCGTATTGGCCGATGTCCTCCGTGAGTCGGTCGGTCCTTATTGCTTATCTTCCCGACTTCCACATGGTCGGTCAAACACGATCTTGCACCATTACTTGGCCACCCTGGTCATACGATACCTCTTCTTTATTTTTCATTGGTTCTTTAATGCCTGTTCCGTCTACCTACGCTCGGGCAATGGATCCCGAATGTTCGGGATTTCGCCATCACTGATTAACTTTTACCTTGTCACCTTCAGAACCCATATGGACATCTCACCTACCTTCTTATCTTCTCTGATCGCTAAGGCTTGGCGCCCATTCAACATCTACTCTCATTTCTTGTTTGTTATTTTACTTAGGGGCTCTGTTTACTATAAAAACCTACATACACCTCTGGAATAAACCAGCTTTTGCACCCCACAGTTCAGAGCTCATTCGCACTCGTCTCAACCATCGAAATTGTCTTTATCGACTTCCGAAAACTTGTCATCCTTGTCGTTCGGCCTCATTCGCATTCGTACTCGTCTCTTCGCTCGTACCCCCGTCCTCCCTCGTATATTGTCAGAGTCCCGTGTGGCTCTTGAAGCACGTAGTTGTCGGTTGCAACACTACCTTCTCGTTACTGACCGCATCGCCGACATGACCGACTGAACGTTCGGTCGGTGTTCGGTGCAGTCCCGAAACCGTTTGGGCACTATAATCTCACACTCCCCGATTACTTCCCAGTATGCCTTCAATTTCCAAAGTCATCACTTACAATTCCTTGTGTATCAGATACTAGCTCCAGCACCCCTGCATTAGAGGTTGTTTTAGTGTTGTGCTCGGCACTTAGAGCTACCTCTAGCGTATCAACGGAGCATGCCGATTGCTGTGAATACTCTGCTCTCGGATCACCGCATTGAATGACTCGAACGCTTCTGTGGCAAACAGGATTGCCGGCCCAAAGCATCGGATGTGATAAGGCAGGTGACAAACAATGTGAAACTTCGGTTTGTTGAACCACCATGGTGTCCACCGCACCGTACAATCGAGGAAATAGTCGATACATTGTTCTAACTCTGTCTGGATCATTTTCAATGAATATCCCTGTGTCTTCTCAAGTGACAGGTTCTGCTCACCAAATGCTGATCCACATTTTCAATGCACGGCTGCCAAACCATGGGGATCAGTTGCGAAAGCGCTAACCATGCCTTGTAACAATCCTCGTCAATAAGGTCATACAACACAAACGGTGCCGCTTGAGCAACCACGCGAAAATCATGACCGGTGAGAGATCCTGCATACTGAACAAGAGTTTGTCCTGCAAGAGCAGAACAGCCAAGGCCCATCACATCGAGCGATGACAGCCTCGTGATCAACAAGGCTTTACCTTTGGCATCTTGGCGCGCAATGGCATCTTGCCAAAAGTATTTGACAAAGCCCAGCAAGATAACATGGAGTATCTCGACAGGTGTATCAAGATGTGGATCAAGCCCTGTGAGTTGAGCTGTCTCGGACCATGAGATCCTAACCCAAGACAATGAGGAACACACCTTTAATCCGCCACACTGGGCTGGTCACGTCGGCAGGAAACGATGCCATGAGATCATCCATCTTCCTCTGTTTATCGGCAAGCGATCCACGGAACTTCCGTCCGAGTGCAAAGATTCTATCCATGAATGTTTCCTGGTATGTGTCTTTCACACCAAACATGGTGTGCAGGCGAGCCAATTCTGTCATGCCCCCGACTGTGCGAGCAGTATCGAAGATTGTCTTGAGTTTCGATCGTGTGTCTGCTGCATTGCGCAATCTCAGAGGCTGAGCCAGATCATTAACAGAGCAGGCACGAGCACAAAACAATATACGCACCCCAAGGAAGCGGCGCGTGCGATCCGTCAATTGCTGCAAGGTCTCTAAGGGACGGCCCTTTTTGGTGCGTGGTGCGGACTTGTGAGAATTGTTCTCGACTGTCTCAGAATCATTGCCAAGGGTGATGGAGAGTGGAGCTAGAAGCGAAGCACTCATCAGTGGGGTCGTCGGCAGGAATGAGAGCAAAGCACAATGTACAGGACCTATCTGATGCACACCTATTACTCCCTCAGCGGAGGACAAGGAGGAATGTCCAACATGTGAATGCCCATCGATAGACGATCCTCCCAGAGTGCTGGGAGCATCACTTGCCTCCGCCTCCTCTCTGGCCATTGTCCCCGCTGCCAGCGAGGCGACCTCATTGTCAGCATCACGCCCTTTGACCCAGCATGTTCGGCAGAAAAATTTCCCTCGTAGGCCAATGTGACATGCCATCTCGCTCTGCATGGGGTTGTCACCCAACAAAGCAAGCACAACAGGCAACACGAGCACCATCTCCTGCGAGGCAATATCCCATGCCCACACTCCGTTGTGTTGTCCATCCCTGGCAGTGTATACATGGTTAGCATGCACACCACGAAAGGGAGTTGCAACGCACTCGTGTTGTGTGACAATGCCATCGAGCATCTCAAGAGGGGGGGCAATGTTGGAGGTTGACAAGAAATGCACATTGTATTGCCGTTGTGCCTGCTCTCGAGGCAGCCCAGCAGGTGTCCAAAGGAATGAATTGTGTTTATTCCACTTTTTGGACAGATTTCCCGATGTATCATCACAATACAGCCACATCATCAACGACAAGACCCAATGTCCTTTCGCTTTGGCTCACCAGTCATTACCTTGTGCCGGATCTCGCATAAATGTCCACAGGCTGACTTCTCCACCCGCTGATTTAATTGTCCCTGAAAATACATTAACAGTGTCCAAAAAAACAACTCATGCATAAACCAACCGAGTAACATGCAAGGATCTGGTAAGTTATCCACCTGGAAGGTGGCAATTAGCTGCGGGAGTGATAGCGTGAAGAGGACCGCATCGACGACAAAAGAGTCGTATTTGTGAGCGACATAACCTCCCAATCCATCCTCGGACACCACAGGCTGCAGGCGCCATGCATTGGCGTAGTAGTGAGGGACCTTGTTGCCGTCGCACATCTCCTCGCAAAAGAACCAATGCATGGGCATGCATATATCACCGTTTTGGAGCTTTGCCGGCTTGTATATAAAGAAATCTTGGCCAGCGAGGCACACCATCGGCGTTGTTAACACCGGATCTATCTCTTCACGCCAATGCATGCCCTGCCAGGCTTCGGAGAGCCAAGTACCAGAATCCTCTGGATAAACTTGTATGTGCGGGCCGACACGGGGATTGCTGAACTCCTAAAATGCTGGTTAATATGTATAAAATGTTGATGAGGATGAATGACCAATGCGATCCAAAATAACGGCATGCGCTGGAACAGAAATTCTAAGCAAACAGAATTAGAGGAAACCCCCATGCCTACAATCTTGAACGCCATTCACATTACCTTTTCAAGCTGGGTCAAGGCCTACAAGAAATCAAAGAAGCCACCGGTCGATCAACTCCTCGTGAGGCAGAAGCAGTGCCGGAACTCACAGAAGTCCAAGGTTAGTTCAATCTCGATCATTTTGAAAAAGTAGCTATGCTTACCTTTTGAATGGGCAGAAAGCAGGAGTGTGCCAAAGATTCTGCGGAGACATCCCTGAAGCTGCTGGTCCTGAGTGGGGATTCATAGGTGAAACTGTGTACCAGTCCATAGATGAATCTCAGGAAGAGACACTTACCGGAGAGGGGGGCACCCAGCAGTGGATCCAGACACCAACAAGGAGGCTCCTATCAGTCAAAATGTACAGACGGGCTGCTCCAAATGGGGATGGTGCAAACCTGCATCACAGAAGACATATGTCACATGGCCTCCGTCTTACCATGCGTGTGAGGTAAGTGAAAACTCACAGTTCTAGCAACCATCTTGAGCATATTAACCTTGCTAGTTAAATGATGTCCTGGACCAAGTGGATCAGTTAATCACAGACAGCGTGAGCACATACACACACTTGCACGGGACTCCGAGGGAGAAAGAGTTACCTATCATTAAGAAGAAAGGTAAAGCAAGAATTCCTTGCACTCTGATTGATCCGCTGTTATGCTAGAGGTGGCTCTAAGTGCTGAGCACAACACCCAAAACAACCTCTAATACAGGGGTGCTGGAGCTAGTATCTGATACACAAGGAATTGTTAGTGATGACTTTAGAAATCGATGGCGCACTGAGAAGTAGCGAGGAGTGTGAGATTATAGCACCCAAACGGTTTCGGGACTGCACCGAACACCGACCAAATGTTCGGTTGGTCGTGTCGGCAATTCGGTCGGTAACAAGAAGGTAGTGTCACGACCGACAACTACGTGTTTCAAGAGCCACACGGGACTCTGACAATATACGAGGGAGGACGGGGGTACGAGCGAAGAGATGAGTACGAACGCGAATGAGGCCAAACGACAAGGATGACAAGTTTTCGGAAGTCGACAAAGACAATTTCGATGGTTGAGACGAGTGCGAATGAGCTCTGAACTGTGGGGTGCAAAAGCTGGTTTATTCCAGAGGTGTATGTAGGTTTTTATAGTAAACAGAGCCCCTAAGTAAAATAACAAACAAGAAATGAGAGTAGATGTCGACTGGGCGCCAAGCCTTAGTGATCAGAGAAGATAAGAAGGTAAGTGAGATGTCCATATGGGTTCCAAAGGTGACAAGGTAAAAGTTAATCAGCGATGGCAAAATCCCAAACGTTCAGGATCCGTCGCCCGAGCGTAGATAGCTGGAACAGGCGTTGGAGAACCAATGAAAATAAAGAAGAGGTATCGTACAACCAGGGTGGCCAAGCAATGGTGCAAGATCGCGTTTGACCGACCATGTGGAAGTTGGGAAGATAAGCAATAAGGACCGACTGACTCACGGAGCACATCGGCCGACACGGAAGACTGGCTCCGATCTCGTAAACACCTATCGTAACACTCCTGTGTGGTCATGGTAAGTACGTGAAGTGTGGGTGAACTGACCCAAGTGCTGCCGAACATCCTTCGGAGGGTTGCGGTTGGTCCAGTAGGGACCGACCGTGTTCAGTGCAAGTCGGCATCTTCGGTACTTGTCTAACACTGTTCGGTATCTCCCCAAAGCTTCCCAAATACCTCCCTCGGACCCTAGCGCGGGTACATGCTCATCACCGCATTAGGTTGCAAGTCACCCGGAGAGCAATACTCCACTACGCATCCAAGAAATTGGACAGGAATGGCCAGAGGAATACGACGGAGATTTAGGGGAGGAAGATGATTTGTATGCTGACCCAGGGGAATACAATGCAGTGGATCCTTGGGATGAGGCTGACAAGTTATGGGAATTGAAGGGGTACTCGCCTGAGGGAGACATGTAATGTACGCAGCGCCTGGCGGTTCTTGCTCACTCCTCGTCCAAATCAAGGTTTAATGTATTGGGTTCCTGTGTCAACTATGACCGATCTTGCTTGATTAAAAAGATGACAACAAATAGGGGAGATTGCTTACATGGTCCAATGATATTGTGACCCATGCACAGCCTTGGCCACGGAGGGGGACATCAGCGAGGGCAAACAGGCTGCAGAGTTGAGATATTGAAATGATTTTAGGGTCCGAAAATTTGTTGAAATTCCAGGTGAAGATCCCAAGGTCTGCGTGCCTGTCAGGAATTCTAGGCTTGGCAGAAAATCACATGATAAGTATTACTTACTTGCTTGACCATGGCATCTCCGGCACTTTGTCATTCTTGAAATGTTCAATTATGGCAAAAGTCATTGACAACGAGGCTTTGGTTGGATCACGGTGATCATGCTTCACAAATGGAAGATATTGGATGCACACGGCTATGTGACCATCGATGAAGGTGAACAAGATCCCCTTCCCTTGGTGCGAGGTACACGCATTGAACCAGGTCCCGTTGACGATGATGTGGGAGAAAGACTGAACCTCAGTAGCCACGAAGGGTTCGCCGGCTCACCAATAACTTGTTTTTGAAATGAGGTTGACCTTGGATTGCCAAAGTGTTCGTAGACATTCAAACACTTGCATGTAAATAGACTTCTCATGGAATTTAATGCTATTGAGGTTGATATACTTCCCTCCACATGGCAGCTGTACTTCATATGCAAAGGTGACAACTCTGTCAGTCTGGCCAACCATGGAAGGGAATTGCAGCTGATATATTTCCCTCTGCGTGGTGGCAGCTCTACTTCATATTTATGCAGCCGAGAACTCACCAATGGCTTCTTCTCAATGCCCGCAACTTGCAATCATATTGAGCAGAGAATCCCTTGTGCAATGGATCTTGTGATCCCTCTTCAGGTAAGTGCACAGCTTCTTGATGGTCACGTTGTCTACCTCCATCTTCTCCTCTAGATCTTCTATTGTGCGTACCTGGATATTAGATTTAGCACTTACAGTGTGCTCAGGGAATGAAAATGACTCACCAAGTCATAGATCAACATATTTTTAATCCAGCTCCACATCATTGTCCCCTTAAACTCCCCCCTGGTGTGTCCATTGGTATTTACCTTGACAAGTCAGCCGTTGTTTGACTCAGGTCCAAATAGCCAGAAATTGTAGACAGGCCCTAAACAATAAATAAAAATATCTCCGTGAACAAGGAGATGAAAATAAGGTGTGAGATGGCAATGCATCAACGACCATGCCCGACAAGCATGTGCATGGAGTTCTTGAGCATGCTGAGCATCATTGGGCAATATGGACTGTACCGTCCATATCCAGATAGCTACGCAAGCATCAAGAACCGCCTTATAATGTCAGAGGTAACTGTGGTCCATGGAGGTTTTATCGAGATTGAATTCTGCAGCGTCGACTGTATCTCCGGACTGCCGTGCGAGGTGCATTCAGTACATTTTATGTTGCTCTCGGAGGAGCTTCTTCATTTTTGCGAAAGCCACACCCACTTTGGTTGATGCACTCGGCTTTGGCAATTTGCAATTGGGAATCTCACCATTCAGTTGCCATGCGCAATAAAGAGCAACTGCATCTGGAAAAACACCCCCTTGTATTAGCTCCAGATTATATCTAATAGTGTCTAAAAGTATCTAAAAGTGTTAATAGCATCTAAAAGTGTCTAATTTCCTAATTGGGAGCAACACATTGTGGTTTCTGATTTCATGATATTAGCACTAATTCTATACTAAGAAGTCTTTAATTATTAGTAGGAAATAGTAAGTACTACTGCTCTATCAGTGAGAAGGTAAAGATATGGCACATTCTATACTATTTTAGCATATTACTCCCCTTCATATATGCCTATACTATTATCTTGTAGCTCTTTTGCTGACTTTCCAGCTGCTTTTATAAGGGATATGGAAAGAGAGAAATGTGCATTGATGCCCCCAGCCACTTTGTTGGCAGCTTGGCAGCTGCCACAAGAGGCTATGAAGACCTAGGTACCTTGTCCTTGCACACAAGATCATTAAAGTTGTCATTGTTAGCCAATGCCTGCTACTGGTCATTATAGGACACAACATAGGGGTTGAACTTAGGGATATGCTACATGCAGCCTTGTAGACCTTGTCTATTAGTACAGTGGTTAATACTGTCTTGTGCAGCACACAATCATCATTACTATTAATATTACAATTTTTAGCAATATTTATATTGTTTATTGCCTTGTTATACAGAAGATGCTCAAACTTGGTGTTTTCCTCTAGCTATTAGGCTGTGGAAAAGACAGTCATATTGGTATGTGGTGCCAGAATGATATATTTGCCTGCCATATAGGAAATATATGCATTAAGCATATTAAGATCACCTCCAACAATCTTGTGCTTATTTATATATAGGCATGCCATACATATAATCTTGTCCCCATCCTCTACCTCACTAGTGGCTATTTGGAAAGCCCCTCTCCCTTATTGGATCTTGATTATTCATAATCATGTTTTTAATCAAATTTGCAAATTAAGGTAACATTGTCTATACTAGTAGAGTCCCTGTTATGATCACGTTCTATCGGGCCTACACGGCGGTCTATTCCGATACGATCATCACAAATATCACGCGGCCTCACAGGTTGAGGCGTACACCAAGGTACAGATATTAACCTTGGTCATCCACTCCCAATGGATCATCAATCATTGGTCGAGTATCACGGGCCTTGTATTAGCGGGCATGAAACGCCGCCTTATAAATTACTCACACGCAGGGCATGAACCTCCTAGTCTCTCCTGGCCGGAAGGAGACCAACGGAGAAGCACAAGAGTAGTCGTTATTGAGAGAGACGACTTAGAGAATACCTACAGATACATATTCGGTATTCTCACGCCCTACTTCCCAAAGTAGTATAAAAGGCCCATAGAATAGGCTGAGGATCTTCAGTCTATTCTCTTCGTTCGCTGTAGTCTCCCTACTACAGCCCTTCACTCCAGTACTGTCTTCCTACAGTACTCTCTATTGCTACGCTGCAATACACCCCTGGCTCCTGTGCTACACGTACAGTCGAGACCATCGTTCCACACATCCTCCACGAGTGACCTAGGGAAGAACCTCCTACTCTTGGGGTTACTGAACGAGCAGTTCGTAACAGTCCCATTGAATATTACACTCAATCATAGTTTTACACATTCTCAGTCCAAATTGTATAAGTGCCATAATTTATTTTTATCCTATATAAAGTGTATTATTGATTTTCCATTGAGCTAGTGTTTAAACTAAATCCTGAAAGACCTGACTTTTTAGGTATTTATTGACCTATTTATTTATAAGATAGAGGAAAGATAAATGTTAAATAAAATCAGAGATGTTGAGGTTGCCTATATTATGTCTACTTATTTAGATTACCAAGTTTATATCTTAGACCTTGTGGCTTAGTGGCTTAGAGCATCTGTCCTAGGTGCTTGCATACATGAGGTTGTTGGTTCAACTCTGGCAGAAGGCAAGTTTGTTATAAGGTATATTTTGTGTTTAGGTATTGAACTAGTGCTCTAATAGACATGACTCTATAAGAAGGCTATGAGAACTGTGATGCTTGATTTATTATTATTTTTCCGAAATTTCAAGTTATAATCAATCCTAATAATTCCTAATTTAGGAAAATTATGTCTAATTAGAACAGGTTTAGAGGGGGGGTAAGCTAAAAATGTCTAATCCTAATCATTCTTAATTATGCATAAATAGAACTAATTAAAGCTTAATACAAAGGGGTGGTTTTCCAGATGAATACTCACGCACCCCTGTTTTATTGATAGGGAGGGGATCTGAGAGAACTGCACTATCATGTGATATCCATCCAATCATAACACAAGTTCCGTATTGTCATCTGATCTCGTCTGAGCACTGTTCTCCATGAGTGCCAAGCCTGCTACCGGATATATACAACTTACCGATAGGATACTGTTGCAATGCCCTCCGGCCTCCCTCACATTATGCCCCTCCAGCAACCGCTTCATCTCCACCTTGAAAGTGTCTGTCTCTGCCATCCAGTCAGTTATCTCCTGCCTTGTCGCTTCGAGCTTTTCCTCTAGCTGATTGTTTTTTGCGATGGCCTTTCCTAACTCTCCATGCAAGACTTTGATATTCCGGCTCATAGACTCTATGAGCATGCTGGAGACTTCATCGACTACCTCTTGCACCCTCAAAAACTCAAATTCCAGCTTGGCCATCCTGTCCTGTAAGTTCTTTGCTACAGACACTTTCTTCTCTGTTCAATTCATACTCATTATATTATCGTTTTATGTTCGAGGAGAGATCCTGACCAGTAGAAGCAGCTGCGTTGATATTCATCGGGCCCAGCGAGGGCTCCCTTGAAGGCGCACGGATTGCTTCTGCGCTTGTTCCATGAGGGATGCCTCTGATAGGTGTTGGTGTGCGAGCCATGCCAAGTACGGGTGTGCTGCGAGGCTGGGAGAATGGCCCTCAATTCTTGCTCATGGGAGGACCTAGTTGAATACTCCCTCGTGCTTGCACCCGTGTTCCCAATCTATTGTCACATGACAAAACTGCTGACACATGGGTAGACAGTGCTGATGCTGACTGCACGCCCTTGTGGATGGCCAGAGCTCGAGGTTTGACCATCGATAGCCCCAAGGACGCTGATTCCAGTGTGGGTGCACAGTCATGTGTCAGTGTCTTGTGGCGAGAATGAGGGAGATCGGGCGGCTATGAGTAGGTGAGTGTGCATGTAGCCAATGTTGTGTGAGCGGCGAGAATGGAAAGTAGAGTGGGTGTCGGGTGCATCTGTGTAATGATCGGAAGGTTCGGAGCAGGAGTGCACATTGAGGGAGCAGGCATCAATGGAGGCAGGTCTGATACAATAGCGCTGGGATCCTTGACAATGAGGTGCACCTTCTGTGGCACGTGCTTTGGATTGGGTACCGTGGGAACATCTGCAACATCAGCAACATCAGCAACAGCATTCGAAGCAGCAGCAACAGCAGCAGCAACATCTGATGTTGTTGTTGTTGTTGTTGTTGTTGTTATTGTTGTTGTTGTTGTTGCTGCTGCTACAGCAATGCCCGATGCTTGCCCTGGTAAGGACATCGTGTCCAATGTACTGTTTTCAGTGAGCTCATCAGTCTCGCAGCCATAGGCTTCTCACTGACCTTTTTTCAGGAGCAGTGTCTTGAACAGGTCCTTTTTTCGAGAGGCAGGCTTCCCTGTCACTGAAGCGCCACACTGGTGCGTCCCCGCTGTCTGTGAATTGGTGGGTTGTTCAACACGACGCTTCTTCGGGTCGTCACAATGTGGCAATAACAGAACTCAGTCCATGGGACAGAGAGTGGATTGTTGAGTGCCTGCGGGGCAATGACGGAAAGTTCCTTGGTCTTCCTGGTACATGCTCTTCTTTCTCGCTAGGTTGTGGCTCTTGGTACTGATAGATGACTGTGTTTCAAGCTATGGGACAAGGAGGAGAAAGCGAGGTAAGGGCGGTGGGGTGCCCTGTTTACACGGGCACCATCATGGATCTTTATGTGTATTCAACTTCTATCAGGGATTCACGCCTGATGTTTTTTGGATGGGTTGTTTTGTGGATCCTTTTGCCTGTAGGATCTTTATGTAGCCTCCAATGGCTTTATTGTATTTTACTAATATTTAAATGTATTTTATGTATATTTATATAGCGCTTTCAAAAGGGATAAATGTTCAATATTGAGCTCTAATAAACCAACAATATACTGAGAATATACCTTGCCTCGAATATCCCCTAGAGATATTTGAGGGATTTTGTGACTATACCTTGGATATACCACGAATGTACTGAGGGAGGGTCTGGGGATATTTGTGGTATATTCATGGTATATTCCTAATATACCACGGATATCCCTAGGGGATATTCGAGGCAATGTCCGGTGACCGCTGCCAGGCCCCGTGAAGCTCCTATAAGGATTTCCCAGAAAATTAGCATATTTGAGGGCAAAAATAGGCCAAATCCTTCCCCATTTTTTGCATATTTCTGGGTTGATTTTGCACCATGTTTCCTGGTTGTTAGCATATTTGTGCCCGATTTAGGTCCGGTTAGGCCTACGGCATTTCCCGATGTTTTCTTTTGTCAAGTCGGAGTACATTCTCTCCCTCACCGAGAGTGCAATTCTTTCTCAAGGCAAGCTCTCTATCAAGCAGATGTTGATTGCTCGTTAATCCCATCAGTCAGTAACCTCAGTAAAGTTGCAACGGACCGTCATGCTAGATCCGAAATTCTAGCGTGCAATTGAAGATACGGAGAAGGAGATGGAGGGGAGCTGCTGCGAAGGCAAAGAAGATGACAATTCGAGAGGCTTCACACTGTGTTCGACTAGCACAGGATACTGACCCGGACTTCTGAAAGCCAAAAATGGATCATGAGCTCCATTGGCAAGAGACCGTGAGGTGGGTTCTCCTCGTCTTGTCATCTGGTAAGTCTATTTGATCATTTGAGGGACACTTGTTGATATTGCTGGACAGACATTGTCCCGAACCTCCCTGCAAAGAATGTGAATGCCATACACAACCTTTGTAAAGGCTCTTATGTGGTGATGAAAACCAAGACAACGACAGGCGCTTGTTTCTATATTGGTGACTCGGGTCCTTGATATCTACAAGAAGGGCGCCAGTAAGCGGCATTGTTCCATCGACACGGCTGTCTCCACAACAGGTCTATCGTATCCCTCGCTTCGTGTGTATCTGCCTATGACTTTGGTAAGTCATATCCTTATAATTCTCTGACAGATGATCCTAATCTTTCATAGTCACATGGACTCTTTACCGTTGGGAGCTCCGATGAGTTGGAGTCCGATGAGGAGTCAGCTCTGGGCCCCGGAATCTCAAGTTCCATTCCTTCTTTCTATTTTTCATTTCTCGACAACCGGACCGAGGTGCACACTCACGCAAAGGCTTCCCACATGCTGTACCACCTTGGTTCCAAGGCACTGGTTGGAGACCAGCGAGACTTAATGCGCTTGACACCGATAGCAGGATCAAGATGGAAAGCTCTCACACAATCTAAGGTGAAAAAGGTGATTTTGGCACCGCCCAAGCCTGTAACTCCTGGAGATCAGATAATAGCACAGTATAAACATTGTCATGTTCATTTTCTATTGATTCTTTGTTGTTTGCGAGAGGAACTCGACGCCGCAGGGGTTCTGTTTGCTAATTTACTTGGTCTTGAACAAAGCGTGACAACGCGTGACAAATATGACAAATTGTGACTACCCTTCCCGGTTTTAGCATATTTCATGGGCGAAATGTCCAAAAAGTTAGCATATTTCTGACTGATTTTGGGGTATGTTGACCGGGAAACCCTTATGGGGCCTGCGCCGCCACCATTGTCCTCGACTCCTCGTCGCTCACGAAGCATGATGCCTCACACGACGTAGACTGCCAATCGCGGCAAGCTCAATGCACTAGGCTGTGATTCCCGTTCGCATCATCGTGAGGATACAAGTGTTGTCTATGCGGTGCACTACCGACCTCTGAATCAGAACGCCTCATGTTGCTTTTGGCGCCAGCTTCGCATCGCCGCTGTCTGAATTTGGTGATCGAGCGCTCTCACCCCCACCTACTGTACTTGCTGGCCCATTGCCGCCCAAAAAAAAAAGTCCTCTGCAGTTCCGTGAGTTACGTTTCAGATATCTCTGTCGACAGCAGGCTCATGATCTCGCGCAATTGGACTTACAGCAACCCTCCTGACTCTCAGTCGAGCATTCGGTTGACAGTCACAGGTGCGCATTCGTTGATCGAGACCTGATCTTGCTCTTTTCATATCACCCATCCCCAACAGTTGTTCGCGCTTTCGATCTCCCCAAGATTTCTAAAATGGTACGCCTTGGTCGCAGGAGCAAAGACGGTAGATTCTATGTCGTACTGTCTGTTGATGGACAACGGGAGAGGGCCAAGATCGCTGACTCAGGCAGTGCTCCCGAGTGGAACGAATCTTTTTGTTTGTGAGCATCTTCCTTTTCTGTCGCTTTTCAGGCCCTTTTTTGACACCGGCTTCATATCGCTGATCTTAGTGAGGCCCATCAATTCTCAGTTCTAAAGCTCGACATCTGCGCCCACCGTAAATTCAAGGATACGCACATCGGCGGCATCGTTGAATCAATAATAGCTTTATGGCCTTCGGTACTTGACGGTGGGAATCGCGGTCAGCGCTGATCTTTCGTTGATCTTGCTCGCAATCCTGAATGTAATCGTACCATGAACACGTTCCTTAGACTTCACCGAGACGATCTCTGAGGGAACGAGTGCCCGTGTCGAAGTACATCTTGAGATCAAAATCGAAAGTTCGCAAACAGAAATGGCCAATATCCGTAGAAGCGCTGAGGATGTCTTATTCAACATGCAATCCCCCACAAAACCTATCGCCTTGGCAATCAGAGCTTCAGCAGCCGCTCTTGAACCTGGGAAGGAGTTCGTCGATAATTCGACGCCTCTCTTGAACAAGGTCAAGATATTCTATGACTTGATGGACGGTATCGCTGAAGTATGTCGTGACCATACGTATCCGACTGCGCGTAACTCACATATGAGCTCTTCCAGGTGCATCCGTACGCCAAAATGGCCTGGAGCATCATATCGATACCACAGAAGGTGCGTTTATTATCAACCTTGATAACATGGCCCGTGATGATGACGGAACGTCGCTGTCGTCGTCGTCATGATGATGAAGATCATGAGCACACAGATGGACCGCGACGATCGAATGCATAGCCTCTTTGCGACCATGAACTCCTTTTACAACATCGTCAGTGACCTAGAAAATGAGCCCGAGATGAGACACACTTTACAAGACCTGCTGCAACTAGCAAAACAAACCACGGAATGCTTATACTTCATCCGTGACTATGCAAAGACCAAGAGCTTCCGTGAGCATGATCTCACGTCGAATACCATTCTCCTGGCTAACGCTCTCCTCACAGTAAAACGAACAGGACAGCAGTTGTTCGCCACAACAGATGACAAGATCGACGCATACTGTACTGTGTTTGTCAAATTCAAGGAGGAATTGTACAGCAGAGTGGCCGTTCAGACTATGATTGCTGCGAAGAAGACCGAGATTGTCGTAACGCACATCCTTGACAACGTGGAGAACCTTGGTCTGTGAAATACGCCCACGATGATTTTTGGACGCATCTGACAGCTTGTCGCAACCACCGATGTCAATTTGGACGACATTCCGTACGCGAATGTCGCCAACTTTGACGAGTCAAAGGGATGCCTGCCAGGCACTCGTGTAGACATTCTGGAAGAGATTGCTAATTGGATCAACAAGGAGGATGCTCCCCGCACCCTCCTGCTCTCTGGTGCCGCGGGAACTGGCAAATCCGCTATTGCGCATACCATCGCCCATCGCTTCAAGAACATGAATCGTCTCGGATCTTCTTTCTACTTTGTGCGTAGCCAGATCGATCGCGGCCCAGGTAAGCTGTTCCCGACTGTGGCTCGTGATTTGGCCGACTTCAACAAGGGCATACGTCACGCGCTACACGAGGTTGTCAAAGACAATAAAGCACTGCGTGTCACGTCCAAGATTACCCAGCAGTTCAATAACCTCATTCTCCAACCTGTCGCGAGGCCTACCATGACTGGACCCCTCGTCATAGTTATCGATGCTCTAGATGAGAGCGGGGATGCTCAAGCTCGCGAAGACTTGCTTCGGGAGCTGGCCAGCAAAACCAAAGCCCTTCCCTCCAATTTCCGCATCCTCATTACATTCCGCCCAGAACCAGATATCATGCGCGCGTTCCAAGCCTGCGACCATGTCATATTTAAGAGCATCCACGATCTTTTGCCATCATCGACCGCGGACGACATCAGATTATACATCCATGATCGTATACGTCCTTATGATGTAGATGGCATCGACGAGGAATGCAGGCGCACGCTCGTCTCCAGATGCGAAGGGTTATTCTAGTGGGCATCTGTCGCTTGTAAATTCATCAAAGGTGTGGGGATGCCAGGATCCAACCCTAGGGAACGATACGAGCTTCTTGTCCAGGGTACGACTAGCGAAGCCTAGCGTCTGGATGATCTGTATAGAGCAGTTCTGTCACATTTTTTTCAGTCGGGAGGCTCTTTGGTCATGGTCAGATTCAAGCGCGTCATGGCCCTTGTACTGACTGCATTTGAACCTCTCTCTGTTGAATCATTGAACCAAATCCTCCATGCTGCCAACGACGGAAATGCAGGATTTAAGACGAACGTCATCCTGGACTACATGGGCTCTCTGCTAAGCGGAGTGACCGGGAACGATGCTATCCGTCCTTTGCATACTTCATTTCGCGATTTTTTGCTGGATCGTTCTCGCAGCGTTGACTTCTACATAGACACTTCAAAGACTCACGTAGACTTCACGGTCGCCTCATTGTACATCCTGAAGAAGGAACTGAGGTTCAATATATGCCACTTGGAATCCTCACATGTGGCAAACAAGGACATGCCCGGCCTCGCCGATCGTATGAAGGAATGTATACCGGCTCATCTGTCGTCCTCTTGTCGCTTTTGGACGAACCATTTGCAAGCCATAGCCGCAACTCACTCTCTAATCTTCAACTGCTCGAAGACGTGGAAGTGATACTCTCAGACAAATTTCTTTTCTGGCTCGAGGTGATGAGTCTTCTCGAGGCCGTACCTGGGGCCGCGCAAGCTACACATTTTCTTGTAAAGTGGAGTTCGGTACGTTCACTCTCGTCAAAAAAACACCGGGCTGAATGTTCATAACATTATGTGATTGCATAGTGTTTAGATTCTGGCCAAATATCTGAAATGGCAATTGGTGCGCATGCATTTGTCAATGCATTCGGGTTCCCAATGGCACAGTCTACCCCGCACATCTATCTGTCTGCCTTGCCGTTCGCTCCACAAAGCTCTACTGTATTCAAAAGGTTTGGGAAGGACTTTCTTCATGTTCTGAAGGTCTCGGCTGGGGCCAATAACCACTGGCCAGCTGCCCAACATATCATATATACAAGGGATGTAGTTGAGTGTCTAGCCATCTCGCCCGACGGGTCATGCATCGCGTCAGGGTCGTACGAGTCAACAATATGGGTGTGGGATGCGACAACAGGTGCTGCTTTGGGCGATCCTCTCAAGGGACACAGAGATTCGGTCAGATCCGTGGCTTTCTCGCCAGACGGATCGCGGATAGTGTCAGGCTCGGATGACAAGACCATCAGGGTATGGGATGCGGCAACGGGTGCTGCTGTGGGTGACCCCTTCGAGGGACATACAAATTCGGTCAATTCTGTTGCTTTCTCACCCGACGGGTTGCGGATTGTGTCAGGCTCGGACGACAACACCATCCGAGTATGGAATGCGGCGACGGGTGCTGCGGTGGGCGACCCATTTCAGGGACACACACAATCCGTCAATTCTGTGGCTTGCTCGCCAGATGGGTCGCAGATCGTGTCAGGCTCATATGACTCCACAATTCAGATGTGGGATGCGGTGACATGCGGTGCTATGGGTGACCCTATCGAGGGACACACAAATCTGGTCAATTCTGTTGCTTTCTCACCCGACGGGGCGAGGATCATGTCAGGCTCGGGGGACAAGACTATCCGGGTGTGGGATGTGGCTACGCATGCTACTATAGGCGACTTTCTGGAGGGACACACAGATTGGGTCATATCTGTTGCTTTCTCTCCAGACGGGAAGCGGATCGTGTCAGGCTCGAGAGACAAGACCATCCGGGTGTGGGATGTGAACACGCGTGCTGCTGTTGGCAACCCTCTGGATGGACATGCAGATTTGGTCAGATCCGTTGCTTTCTCGCCGGACGGGTCGCGCATCGTGTCAGGCTCAGCCGACTGCACGATACGGGTGTGGGACACGGCGACAGGTGCTCCTGTGGGCGATCCTCTCGTGGGACACACAAATTGGGTCCATTCTGTTACTTTCTCGCCAGACGGGTCGCGGATAGTGTCAGGCTCGTCCGACAGCACGCTCCGGGTGTGGAATGCGACCATCGTTCGGCCTGCCCCGATCTACAAGGTCGGTGGCCCCAGATGCACTGTTGCGCTCAGAAACTAGCAGTACTCTTTCCACAATTTCCAGCATGCATCCCAGTAAGTTGGTAATTTGTCATTAACCGACTCGTACAGAGTCTCCTGTCTGACTTGAACCTTTCACAGCCTCCATTCTCATCTCGCCTCATCTAGAACACGCACTGCACCTAGATGTCCTTTATGAGTCTGCGCCAGGGTCTCAAGGGGACTATCGTACATATAGACACACGGACAGTGATGGTTGGATAGTGGGTCCAGCATCAGAACTGTTATTCTGGGTGCCCGCCGCGTACCGCAACAAGTTATGGCCCGGTTCAAGGCTGAAGATTGTCGCAGGAAGGGACTATATGCAGCTGAACCTCAGTCAATTTGTCCATGGAAATTCGTGGCAGCAGTGTTACCATCCTTCGCAGCCGCCCTGATTCAGATCAGAGTCTTTCATCTCTTTCCGCTATGTACGAAGTACTTAGTTTCTAGATGCCGTGCTTTGTGATATATTGACCCGATCGTTCTGCCCGCGTTCATTCAAAAATAACGTCTATCAGTTCCAAGCAGCAGCCCGCTTAGCACTTCAGTGGAGTAGAGCGAATCGCGAAGTTACATGGCATATATAGAGCGCAGCTGAGGTAGATGCTCGCGCATTGAACTTTCAATGGAGACCTTTACCATATGCCATCTGGGCAGAGCCGAACGGTGCACCAGCGCGTCTACAGTTGATAGTCGTTGACAGCAGCAGACAGAAGCGTCGGCGCTGTCGATTGAAAAGCCGTCAGATGCACCTCACAGAGCGAGCGTCACTACGTTTGCAAGCGAGCCTACTGTAGCGTTTCGTGATGTGATGTGACCTTCGCAGGGAGCGAGCTGGGTCCAGCGCTGATCTGAGTGCGATTGATGGACCCTGTGGGGGGTCTATGCCGCGACTACGATCCTGGCAGACTTACGGCCAAAGGGACAAGGGAAGGCAGCGAACAATTGTGGATAGCAGAAGTTAGCCATCGAGCATAATTCGATAGCTATGAAAGAGCAGGGCAGGAGATGGGTGCTAGGAAGAGAGATAACGAATAGGGATGCGCCAGTATTTTTAGCCTCAAGGTTTCATGCGCGATGGAGGATTGGCGGGATCTTGAGACATATGCAAACGGAGTAGGCGCATCATCGAAGAGGATATGAAAGAGAATCCGCACGACGGATTTGCTGGTCTGTGGCCGCGGGTGTTTGCGCATGTATACGCGGGAGGGTGGGAAACGGGCGCCACAATTTCGGGGACAGAGCGCCCTGCAAGCAAGGGAACTGTGCCATTTTCTCGACCTTTTCGCCTACTTGTCATCGCCATGCAGGACGGCAGGGCTCCCAGAATAAAGAACAGGGCTGCGGCAGCCGTTCAGATCACTGCCGAGCAAATCCTTCGCGAGGTTGGTCCCAATTCCACACCGGCTTGTGCTGCGCTCACTTAGCGTTCTATCAGGCTCAAGAGCGTCAAGAGACACAATTTCGTGCTCCAAAACAGCGCGTCGAAGACTTTGAGGAGCTTCACGAGTATCGCGGCCGGAAACGAAAAGAGTTCGAGGAGCGCATCAGGCGAACGAGGGGGAGCGTGTGAGTTTCAGCTGCTCTTCATAACCCTCCCTCGCCTGACCCGTGACCACAGCAAGGAATGGCTGCAATATGCCAACTGGGAAGCCCAGCAGAATGAATTTCCACGCTCGCGCTCCGTCTTTGAGCGTGCTCTGGACGTCGACGCCCGAAGCGTTCAGCTATGGCTCGCGTACTCCGAGATGGAACTCAAGTCGCGGAACGTCCAACATGCGCGCAACCTCTTCGATCGAGCCGTGACGCTCCTCCCACGCATCGACCAAATCTGGTACAAGTATGTGTATCTCGAGGAGCTGCTTCAGAACGTTGCTGGGGCGCGGCAAGTGTTCGAGCGGTGGATGGCGTGGGAGCCGGATGACAAGGCATGGCAAGCTTACATCAAGCTGGAGGTGCGGTACGAGGAATGGGATCGAGCGAGTGCGATCCATGAGCGGTGGGTGTCGGTGAGGCCGGAACCGCGGGTGTGGGTGAAATGGGGCAAATTCGAGGAGGAGAGAGGCAAAGTGGACAAGGCGCGAGAGGTGTTCCAGACTGCACTTGAGTTTTTTGGAGATGAAGAGGAACAGGTGGATAAGGCGCAGGCAGTGTTCAGCGCGTTCGCCAAAATGGAGGTTCGTTTGAAGGAATTTGAGCGTGCACGGGTGATTTACAAGGTACGTTCATTAGCTCTTTGTCCGTCTTGTGCTCATGATCTTCGCAGTTTGCCCTCTCTCGTCTGCCTCGATCAAAATCTGCCAACCTCTATGCTGCATACACGCGATTCGAGAAACAACATGGTACACGAACATCGCTTGAAACCACTGTCCTGGGCAAGCGGCGCATCCAGTATGAGGAGGAGTTATCGCATGACGGCCGGAACTATGATGTTTGGTTCGACTTTGCCCGGCTGGAAGAAGGCGCCTATAAACAGCTGCGAGAGGAAGGGTCGACGACTGAGGAAGAAGAAGAGTCTATAAGCCGAGTACGAGAGGTGTACGAGCGTGCGGTTGCACAGGTCCCTCCAGGGGGCCAAAAACGACATTGGAGGCGTTATATATTCTTGTGGCTGTATTATGCTTTATTCGAGGAGATGGAGACCAAGGTAACCTGCATTCAACTTTTACTGAACTTCGTTAACCCGTTTGTCCATCAGGACTATGCACGAGCACGACAAATTTATCAAACAGCTATTCAACTCGTGCCTCACAAGGAGTTCACTTTTGCGAAATTATGGCTGATGTATGCAAAATTCGAGGTGCGGAGACTGGACCTTCCAGCTGCGCGAAAGATTCTCGGAACGGCGATTGGCATGTGCCCGAAGGAAGCCCTCTTCAAGGGCTATATCCAACTCGAGTTCGACGTAAGCCACATGGTGTTTCTCAATTCGCGAATTGACCGTGTTGCAGCTCCGTGAATTCGACCGCGCACGAACGTTGTACGAGAAATACCTCGAGGTACGTTCCTCAGATCAGTTTTTCGCGCCATTTCTGAGGCTTGCCATAGTTCGATCCCACCAACTCCCCCGCTTGGATCAAATATGCCGAGCTGGAGACGCAGCTCGCGGACTACTCCCGCGCGCGGGGCATCTTCGAGCTCGGGGTGTCCCAGACGCCTCTTTCGATGCCGGAGCTCCTCTGGAAAGCATACATCGACTTCGAGGTCGAGGAAGGCGAGCGGAAGAACGCGCGCGCGCTCTACGAGCGTCTTGTGCAGACCAGCGGCCACTGGAAAGTGTGGGTCGCCTATGCGCTTTTTGAGGCGCAGGATATCCAGCTGCCACGAGACGAGCGGGAGGAAGAGGAGGAGGAAGAGGAGGGCGACGAAGAGAAAGAGGTCAAAATGGTGGAGGGCGACCTGGAGCTCGCACGGAAGGTGTTCGATCGTGGGTACAAGGACCTCAAGACCAAGGAGCTTAAGACCGAGGTAAGCGATCATGCTATCGCCTCAACTGTCATCTACTGATTCCTCCAATCTCGCAGCGAGTGGCTCTCCTCCAGGTCTGGAAGAACTTCGAGGAGAAGCGCGGTACGTCGGAGGATGTCGCGCGCGTGCAGGGCATGATGCCCATCCAAGGCAAGCGGCGCTACGTCGACGAGGAGACAGGCCAGCTTGTCGAAGGTGCGTCTGAACTTTCCTCGCGTGACAGTAACCTTGACACTCGTGTCGCACAGATTACGATTACATCTTCGCCGACGACGAGCGCGAGGCCAACCCAACCTCCTTCAAGTTCCTCCAGAATGCCCACGCCTGGAAGGCCGCGCGCGCTTCTGGTGCAACTACGCTGTCCGGCTTCACCGCCGCATCATCGGCTTCGAAACCCAGCGAGGTCAAACCTGCACCTGTCGCGGAGAGCAAGAAGGACGACGCGATGGACGAGGACGTCAGCGACGTCGCTAGTTCTCACGGTGGCGACGAGCCAGTGTAGCATAACTTTCACTGCTTCATTTTTTTTATTTCTTTCGAACTGCAGAATCCGATGCTCGTTTCACGCTGATTTGAACAGGAAAGACGACTTAGGCATGCGTCACCGTGCTCAGACAATATGAAGTTATCGTTACAAAACTACGTGGTACGTGGCCAGTACAGATGAGGCGGCTCGGCATCGCAAAAGGTGCAAGTCATGAAAATAGGCGCAGATAGAAGTCATCGAAAAATCAAAGAGTGTGGTCTCGCGGGGATCATGCGTTCACGGAGTCAATATTCATGGGACCGTCCTACGAGCTGCCGTGTAAGTGCATATATGAGCGGAACGCATACATGCAGAAGGAACGAAAGAAACTGACTGTGGAGTCGGCGGAGGTGCAGAGGGAACTTTGGGACTTGGTGGAAACGACACTCGGATCTGTGTGTAAGACGGTAATGTTCCTCGTCAGATCCATTAAATAACGCCAATGTAAAGCTGAACATACCATGGCAGAGGTGCACGTCGACTTCTTCACAACGAAGGGATCGATCGGCACGCGCCGCTCATGTGCAAAGGTCAGAGGCGAGGGCGTCGTGCGCACTGAGTCAGGCGGGGTTGGCAGCGCGCCCCTCGGAGAGGGAGTGTCGAGGACAAAAATCCTGGGCTCGCGAACCATCTTCTGCACGTACTCGTCCGCCACCGCCAACCTGGACCGCAGATCGAGCATCATGTCGTGGACAGGCCTGAAGCCACGGATCTTGTCCTCCTCCATTCGCACACGCTCCAGGTGGACATGGCGAGCCATCAGACCGAGGGAAAGCCCCGAGGCGCGCTGCAGGTCTAGGGTTCCTTGTTCGAGCTGCTGGCACCGATCCTCCGCACATTTCATGCGCGCCTCCAGAATCTCGTGTCGGCACATAAGATCAGCGTGGCCCGAGTGCAACAGGTCGTATTTCGTCACTGTTTCTTTGAGGATAAGAGCCGTTTCCTGTGTCTGTGCCGTGGTTTGCTGATTCAAGAGCCGCAGAGTTTCGTGAATCGTTTGCAAAGATGTGAGCTCTTCCGCCTGTGCCCGAGCGCGGGTCTCCAGCTGAATATTATTGTCGCAAGACTGCTCGTAATCGACGAGGAGCGCGTCGTACCGCGCTTGCAGGTTATTATATCTGGTGCGAGCAACGGCGAGATCTGCCTTGGCCAAGAGCGAGTTCTGACTAGCTCGAGCGTTTTGACCAGCCAGAAAGCGAGAGTAGCGCCAGAGCACGGTCATTTGAGTCAGGAGGCAGCGAATGGCCTTCGACCTGCAGGCCTCAGATTTCTCCCGGTAGGCAATCCAAGCATTAGCAGCAGACTCCCGAGCGCGAACTGACCGGGTGTACTGGATGTGCAGGGCCATGAGCTTCCGTGAGAGATTGGCAGCGTTGTCCTCAGCGGTTATCAACTTTTTCTCCCGCTCATCGCTCTGCACTTTGAGTATGTGGTTGTCCAAGCTAAGGCTGTTGCATTTGTCGGTCTTTGCTTTAAGATCTGATGTGAGACGCGTAATGGTTCGTGTCGCCTCTGCCAGGTTCTTCATGAGAATCCTAGAGAAACGGTGGAGAAAGCTGAGAGAGAGAAGAGCCTCGCGAATATGTTCAAGACGCGTCTTGCGCTGAGTGGGATCCAAGCCCAACAAGGAAGCGTCCGACTGACGGATAATCTGCCTGATATGGCTGTTTGCGGTGGCCGACTTATGTTGCTCGTGGGTCAAGCGGGACTCCAACAGCTTGCAGTGTTTCTCGGACGCCTCCGCTCGAGAAGTGATTTCGGTCAGTCTTTCTTCGAGCAGATTCGCCTTGGATTCAGCTTCCTTGAGTAAACCAGCGATCCTTTGGTGGTCATCCTAGTATATAACGACGTCAGTTATTAATTTTAGAGTATGTACAACATGGGTTACCTACCTCGGATGTATGCTCGATCATCGGTCGTCGTTCGTGGTCCTCAGGAGCTTTGCGACCATCCAGCAACGACAAAAAATGTGTGCAACCAAGGAAGGCAAAGGCCCAAACCACAAACCCGGAGTATGATGAAAGAGGTATAAAACTCCGGATGTATACAATACCCTTCAACGTATCAACACGCAGTGATCCCAACCAAATACAACGAGACGACGTACTGTGAGATTGCCGAGACACATGCATGCGGAGAAGGCCAACAAAAAAGACATATATGCAGCCATGGTAGTTCAAAGAGTGTAGGTCTTTTAAATGAGCGGCGTGTCGATGAGTGAAGGAGGAGAAAAGGAGAAAGGAATGGTGAAGAGGAAGGTCGCTTGATCGAGTGGTGATTGCAGACTCTGGACGACACAAACAACAACAAAGCCTAGCACGCGCTTGATCGCGTGACAAAAAAAGGCTATCACGTGCATGTAAATATCTTTCGCGTTCTGAGTTTTGTGAGCTTGTTTTCTCTCTCCTCGGACTAACTGCTCCAGGCTTGCCATCGACAACTAATTGTACTACTAATTCAACACGAGGAACAGCTCACCATGGCTCAGACGAAATACCAGAACTCTCTGGCTTTCGATCTCTCCTCGTTGAATCCACCTTCCGATTTCGGTCCAAGACTGGGCAAGCTATCTCTCAACCGCCCCGACGCGATGCTGGAAATTCTGACGCCAGGCATCATCACATCAACATCGCGTGGTGTAGTCCCACATCTTTCTCGGGATAATACTCGCGCGACTGATGCTATACGATGGGTTCACGTACCTTTCGAGACATTGTAAGTCCCTCTTGCCGCTCCATCGAATTGCTCCCATTACGTTTCTGACTTATGTCGTCTTCCGCCACACCCTCAAGCTTAGAACACTCCCCTCCTGTTCCTATCCTCCAACCAGGCCCACATCCCCTACATAAATTTCTTGGATTCCTACCAAGAAAGCACATCGTGACGATGTCTCTTCGGGATCCGTTCGATGCCCGTGAAATGCCATCAAACGGCAACAATTTTGTCACCGCCTACTGCATACGAGGCGTCCGACAGGTACCGCATTTTATGCTGCATCCCATCTTGTCATCTATCTGAATCAAAACAGATCTGACCTACCGAAACGCAGGTGGGACGGAGCGATTGGCGCAAGTATGTGCTGGCCTGCGACCCAGACATCGTGATCGCGCTCCCTGATATCCCCTTCACGCCTGGGCCGCACTCCCAGAAGCGAGTAATGAAGAGCATCGAACGGTCTACCGCATGGCTGTCCGACCTCTTGCAGCCTATTCCTCTCGACAGTGACGCTCGGACGGACAAATCGGAGTCTCATCCAGCGCCACGGCTGAATGTCTTCGTGCACATGGCCGGTGGTACGGCCACAACGGCTCGAGAAGCATTTTCTCAATCCCTCGTAGAGCCTCTTTATGGAAACGAAACTTCGTCTATCAGACCCTTCAAAACGTTCGATGAAGGCGTCGCAGGATACACCTTTGACCTCATCCCGCTTCATCAGTCGCTCTCCACCCCACCTCCATCGATAACACCCACACCCGCGCCATCCCGTACACCTACGCCCTTCATCGTCAAGTCGACTATGACTGCACTCGACCAAACGCCAAACATCCCGTCTGAGGAAACGACCGCCCGGCTCGCACTGTTGTTGAAGGCATCCTTGTCTCCTCTCCCCAGAAGCAAGCCTCGCATCGTGCACTCTGCTGGCTCACCGCATGAGATGCTAGTCCTCATACGAGACGTCGGGATTGACCTTTTCGACGCGCACTGGGCGCAGCGCGCAGCTGACATCGGGGTCGCGCTCGACTTCGTCTTCCCTACTGCTTCCTCCGCCGAGCCAGAACCCTCACAGAAAAACCTCGGACACAATCTATACGACACTCGCTACGCGAAAGACTTCTCTCCCTTTTCAGATGTCCTTCGTACTTCTCGGGATCAGGACTCCAGCGATGTTGACGTTCTGCCATCCTGTCCCTGCATCGCGTGTTCTCCAACACGCCCGTTGCACCCCATCCACCATAGCGCGCTCGACGGCCCTACTCTTGTGACTCCATCATCCACTCCTCCGCCTGCCCCTTTCACCCGCGCATACGTACACCATCTCCTCCATACTCACGAAATGTCCGCGCACACCCTCCTCGCCTCACATAACCTCTCCATGCTCGATATCTTCTTCGGTGACGTGCGTCGTTTACTCGTAGAGCGCCCAGAGGAGTTCGAAGCTGAGGTCGCGAAGTTTGTGAAGCTTTACGATGGGAGTCTCAAAGTATTCGGGGAGGCGAAGAAGTGCTGGGCGGAGGTGGAGCTGGCTAGGGGCAAGGGGAGGCTGGCGCGGGAAAAGCAGAAACAAGATGAGGATACGTTGGGTACCGCAGTGGAATTGTGATCTATATACAGAGGTGATCTCAGCCTGCCCGAATCTGTAAAAGTCGAACAAGCATCTCTGCTCGGAATGTATACCTAGCGTCTATAATCATACATGACATTATCAGGAGACCATCTATGCAGCGCTCGCACCCCATCCACCGCCGATGATGGAGACGACAAGCACGATGCCCGTGACTTGCATCGCGCGCCAGAAAGTGGACACATGGGCCGCATGGTCCATTTCCGTCTTCTTCCAGCCCGTGCGCGGCGGGCCCCCGTGCCCCGTTGCCCGCCTCACATGCAGCGACGCGAACGGGTTCCCGCGTTGTGGATTCGGGTGCGAATATGCGTGTGCGGAGGACTGGTGGGGATATGACGGTTTGGGCCCGGGTGGAGGCCGCTGGCGACGGGGATGCTCCCACGCGTGCGTCGCCCCTCGATGGCGGAATTCGTATGCATAATGGCTGTGAAAGTTCGATTGCTCTGTGTTGACTCCTGAGCCTCCAGAGGCAGGGATGGACAACGTGCGGTCGTATGCTCGCCTGAGAGAGAATTCGCAGTAGTCAACGCCCCCATGAGTTATAGGGAGTCTGCGCGCGCAACATGAAACTGCTCACCGTTGTCTGTCATCTCCAAGAACCGAATACGCCTCGTTAAATTGATGAAATTTCTCCTTTGCCCCGGGTTCTTTATTCACGTCGGGATGGAACTGCTTGCTTAGCTAAATCGCCTATTGACTTCAGCACCTATTAGCCATGATGAGGATATCGATAATCTACCCTGTAAAAGCTCGACTGTCCATCCAAATCACGCCAAAAATGTTCATCCTTACGGTACGAGATGTACGGTGAGGTAGACTCGAGGCTCACTTTGATCTGGTTCTTCGATGCATTCCGAGGAATGGCAAGGGCTTCGTAGTGCGTCGCCTGGCAAGCGCTGCTCGTCGAGAACATATGCCGACTGCTTGAAGCTACTGGCAGGCTATGGCTGGCATGATCCTTGTTTTGTTTCAGTCGCTGTACAAGGCCTGGTGTCGAACGATGCGCATGCATGTTGAAAGTATCAAAAGTCGAGCCAGAAGACTGAGGGGGTGAGTGTGAGGCGTTGTGGAGCGGAAGCTGCATCCGCTGTGCGGTTGCCCGGCCCGGAGCCAAGGGTGGCGAGAAAACTAAACAGAGGCCATATGCTCCAAGGCCAGCCCATGACGCACGATAGCGGAACCACGTATGCGTGAGTCGCACAGGAATGCATACCGACGTCAATGGCCAAGACGGATTCAGAAACACTGAAATTCAATCTAAATGTCTACTGAACTGCTTTATCGTTCCCCCTATAATGGTATGGAAAGTCTGCTGACAAGTGCCTCGTGTTCTAAAATTCTGCCCTTCCATTTCTCTTCCACCTCCTTCAGATCCCAGTTAGAAGAGACAAACCTGAAAGGACCATTTCGGGAAGAAGTCAGTCGACTGTCACAATTTACCCAACAAAAGAGGATGCGTACCTTCCAGAGAGCCAGTCCGCATTTCCAGCAGTCAAATACAGGGCGGTCGCAGCTGCGAGTTGTGTAGTGTCAACCATGGCCCTCTCAAATTGGGGATTTTGCATGGCCAGATCCGTCTTGATAGAGCCTGGATGCAAAGAAAACACCTTGATCTCGGGAGTCTCTGATATTCACAGGTCATCAATAAGGGCAAATGCAGCTGCTGCGGATCAGACAAACCAAGTTTCATGTGTTCAACGAATCTCCCAACAGCATGCTTTGAGACTGCATATGAACTACCGAACGGTATCCGGATCTGCGCAGCAAGGGACGAGATGGCAACAAAATATCCTCGAGTCTTGGAGAGGTGAGGTGTTGTGTACCTACAGTCATTTTTTTTTTGACTGAGATCACGATGCTGCAGAACGAGAAGAGCAAGTACCAACCGTGCGACATTGTACACTCCGCGAACATTGACCTCGAGAACGTTCCACCACGCGTCAGGATCCTCCTCAGTGAACGCTGATAGTATGACAAGTCATGATCAGGAAGAGAAAAATCATAGACGAGCACCACACACGTTGATTCCACGTAGTCAACGCTCCCGCGTTGGCTATAACAATGTCCAATTTTCCAAATTGTGCTATGACAACTTTCACAGCATCGTCCACTTGCTTCGCCTTCGTTACATCGAGGATGACATCGAGGACTTGGACACCGTCGACGCTTTCGAGGATGGTCTTCTTGACAGCATCCAAGGTCGCCTGTTTTCGTCCGCCAAGGACCACCGAGGCACCAGCGCGCGCATATGTGATAGCGATTTCTTCGCCTATGCCGCGAGATGCGCCCGCTACGAACACAACCTTACCCTTGCAAGACTTCTTGTCATAGTGGACTGAAGGATCGATCGTAGGATACACGCTATATGCCAGGTCAGCGGCGAGCTCCGAGACAAAGCGTATGATATGGTCACATTGACTCACTCGTGCTTCAAAGTGACAGGCAGATCTTCTGCTGGGGCGGGCATGAGCTGAAAGTTTACGGATTGGAACAGAGACCGGAATAGCAATTGGAAGTCGCTGGTACTCAGGCCTCAGGCCCCCATGCTTGCTTGCGCTACTATTTATGTTGGGTGTTTTCCCGAGGAAGCAAGTAGACACGTCCTAGAGCGAGATGCCGATAGCCCACGCAACACGACGGAAGGACCGCGCTGACTGATTGCCTTCGACGTGAGCTTACCAACCTCGCTTGCTTACTGAGATATGGGATTTAAATAGCCCAAGTCGAGAGGAAGCCTTGCGAACAAGATGGTCCAGATAACACGAGATACTCGCATGCACCTTATACCATAACAGCGAGCGGTGGATCCTAATAGTGCTCACTTGAGCTAGTGGTAAGTATGGATGTTTGTAATTTCCAAATCGGGCATGATCACCGGAAGCTGCCGTGTTAGCCAAAAATAGCCATCTCACCGGTTCATCACTTGGTTAGTAGCTCGCTTTGAGACACCAGTGCTCTGAGCATGGAGTGGACCCAGGTATGTATGCCTTACTCAGTCATCTGTTCAAGATATCAGGCGACCTATAGCGCGCAAGGTATCTCAAAATGAAGGGATTGAGAGACCATATCGGTCCAAGGCCTGAAGGCCATATTGGAGCAACGTTGCAAGACAGGGAGACATAGGGAGACATAGGGCAGCGTGATTGATTGCAATGTTGAACATTGCATCGCTGAGCGATTGGATCTAATGAAGTCTCAGGGCATCGGCAGCCTTTACCGACTCGGAGCACCCTTTGTGAACTCTACCAGTGGCACCACAGAGTGTTGTGACAAGAAAAGATTTCGCGCCTTTGCCCTGAGCATGAGCGCTTGATGACAGGTAATTAGGGAATTACTACGGCCTGCACGAACTGCTCACATGTGCTGTTATCAGGCAATCAATGTCACGTCGAGAGTAGCAAGGTGTCGTTACGCCCTGCACAACTTGACGCGAGATCGATGCGGAGCAGTTATTATAGTGGCGTACGTACAGCGATACGGCGCTTCTTCGCGATTACCGCCAGCCATAATCTGCCATAATTGCGAAACCGGCAAAAAAATTGGGAGGATCATAACCAGAACCTCCGACGATGCCACATGACCGCGCTCAACGGAATGTCATGTAGGGACCTTGTCAATTCTATCAGTCAACAGCCCTACGCGACGTGTGTCAAATAATACAATGATGTTTTCACGCGCAGTCCGAGGTTGAGTGAGCTAAATTACGAAAATTTAAAGACAACGAACGAGTGATGCGTACAGAAAACGATGACAATGCGAGTGAGAGAGAAAAAGTAACAATGAAGGAAAGGAAAAACAACGACCAAAGCCTGAATGCAACATGCCTCTCGTATAGACCGGCTTAACTCCCCAGGATGAGCTGCTCCGCGGTCTTCGATCTCGCTTTGATGATGCATGGGAACTCCATCGGCCGGCGCGTCGCCTCGCCTTCGTAATCGGTGGAAGGCTCGATCGGGACGCCGTTAGAGTCGACAGCCTTGGAAATGTTGAAAAGCGAGAGAACCATGGAGCACATGTTGAAGAGCACGGCGTCGGCCATGTGGACGCCGGGGCAGATGCGGCGCCCGTACCCGAACACGAATCCGTACGGGCTGAGCTCGGGCTCTGAGCCATCCTCGGGCAGGAACCGCAGTGGATTAAATTCAAGGGGGTTCTTGTAAACTTCAGGGTCACGCATGAATCGCCTAAAGGGAATTGGTAATTTAAGATAATGATCGGAATCATGCCATAGTGATAGACGTACCATGTATTTGGGATGATGACTGCGCCCTTGGGGATCAAGAGCCCATCGTAAACGTCATCGCTGGGCCCAGACAGACGATGTGCGACGGCTGGAAGAAAATACTATAAGCATCACATCCACGCGTGATAAAAAAACAGCACGAGACTGACCGAGAGGGAAGATCGGCCGCCAGCGGAGCAATTCCTTCACGACAGCATCAATGTAGGGCAGGTTGTCGCGGTCACGGAGAGTAGGGAGGCGGCCAGTACCAAGAACGCTGTCGACCTCAGCCTGTGCACGCTTTTGAATATCAGGGAAGAGAGTCATCGCAAGGAAGAAGGTTGAGATGGCCGATGTAGTCTGTGTGAACAAGCGTATGTTTGTTAGAGACGGCCTAATATACGAGTGAATGAGGAAAGGCTCACGGTATCGGAGCCAGCGCCGTAGATGTTAGCAGCCGTGCGCATGACAGCGACTTCGTCTTCAGAGGAACCACCATCCTTGTCGAGGTACTCAGACACAACAGAGGGAATGGCGGTGCCGGCAGCCTAGTGGAATATAAGAGTGTGAGTGATACGCTTCCAGCCCTTTTCATACTATTTACTCACGACTTGAGCTTTCGTGAATTCGAACGGCGTTCTCTGAATAGTGTCGAGCGTGGTCTTCCATTCCTTGACGGTCTTCTGGAAACCTGCACCAGGGAACCATTCCGGAACGTATTTCACTGAAAACCAAAGATGCAGTTGATAAGGCATTAAAGATTGAATGTGAGATGAACAGAAACATACGCCAAGGGAAGATCTCGACGAGGAAATTGCCCGATTCCAAGAGATGACCGAGGTCCTCCACAGATTGCTCCGCGAGCTTTACGACAGGGTCATTCTCTTCCTTGATTTCATAGCCATATGCCATCAGCATGGAGATCGCAGTGGTGGACCTTCAGCGTCAACAGAATATCAGCATGACATCCAGGAGACGCATGAAGACCAACACGTACCGCTTGATGAGCTCCGTCTTATCCTCAGGGTTCTTCATCAGGCGCTGCGTGAACGCGTGAACCTCGTTCTCGATGAGACCGTGGAAGTTCTGCATGTGCACGCGCGAGCCAATGACGCGGTGGAGAAGCTTGCGCTGAAGGCGACAAGTGTTGCCGTACTCCGTGCAGATGAGGACCTCGTCCCAGCCGGTGAGATGGGCCATTTGGAACTGCGGGCGGTCCGAGTAACTACTGCTCTTCTTCTCGAGGAGATCAACGGCAGCCTTGACGCTGTTGATGATGATGACAGGCTGGCCGAGCACGCTGACGTAGACCAGGTTGCCTGACGATCGAGAATATAATTCATTGTCGTCCAAACCCCGCACGTCAAATGTGCAAAACCCTGAACGCACCATATTTGTCTCCCCAGTTGCTGAACACCTCCCAAGCTGAGCGTTTGGGCATGTCCAGAACATTACCTATGATCGGCCATCCCCTGGGGCCTCGAGGTAGAGGTGATGAAGAACGCTTTTGAGCGATGGTCTTGATAACGAGCACGGCGACAACGGCCAAGAGCGCGTCGATGACTCCAGGAGTGTAGGCCATGCTGGCAGTAGCAAGGTAAGTTACAGGGGCACAAGTATACGGTAAGGCTGTCAAATAGACGAGCCCGAATTTATATATCGAAGCGAAAACGGCGATATTACCATGTCAGTCGGAGCCATTTATCACAGAGGTAAGAGGAGGACTGGCCAGGACTGGTCGTTGACAGGCGTAATCTGTCGGCTGATCCGAGTGTGGCGGTATACCAAACGGACCCGCTCAACGCGGATCACAAGGGCAATTCTCCTGCCTATTGCGACTGGCTCGAGGCTTGCATCCGTCGTCTTTGCTGCTGTCTTGCTGACCAAATCGCTCGGAACACAGCATTTTTAGGCCACGACGCTACGCTGCACGGCGGTTAGGCATCTGTTGCGCCTCCGAAATGGAGTGCCAGGGGTTGTCAATCTCAAGTGGTTTCCCTTTCTCTGAGAGACGGTACTGACCTGGCTTTTGCCTTCCTTGGAAAACGAATGTGAGGCTGGCGCACTGGCGCTTGGTCGAGAAGTGGAGAAGCCAAATCGAAGGTCGGCGTCCTACCAGGTCCCGCCCTCGGTCCGGCACCTGCGCGGACCTTACGTCCCTGGGCCGATAGACTGGCTCGGAAAGGTTCCAGACTGAGATCTGGTGAAGATCGTAAGCAGCATCTTTTGCCGATCACTCTGAGGCGCCCACAGGCGAAATCTTCAAGCAATCTTCATCGACGCGATGCTAGTTGCAACCGCCTTCGTTACTCCCTCATCTATCAAGCTACTAGCGAGCTTATATTGATTCTCATATAATGCCCAAACTTACGTGTCAGACTCACTTCCGTATGTCGCGCGGGCTTGTTGAACCGGGATGACACCTCTGACGTTCTTCGAAACCTCTTTAGGTCGCGCGTTTGTTGCTCTCAGTCATCTTTCTACTGTAACGTCGACGATCAGATCGCTTTAATACCTCTTTCGGGCGTTTGCGAGCTGAGTTGAGCGTACTCACACACTGTTGACACTAATCCTCTCGGCACTTCTTCCCTACTGCAGTGCGCCTACGAGCGTCTACCTTGTTTCGTAGCAAAACTCTCTGCTTCGGACGCATATTGGAATTACATCATACCGTGGGTATCTGTGTGAAAACTCACTAATCCGATCCGCTCAGCCGTGATCTGAAAGCAGTCTACCGCATTGTTCGATAAAGGACTCGTCGACAAAACCCTCAAGTCTCGGTGACAGCCCATCTCCTCCCCTCTGTGCTAGTCGGCCATATAATTGTATCGGCACAGCCATCGTTGTAGAGTGACGACGTCGTGTTCAGGATGATCAGCATCTGTTACCTGACAGACAGGTGGAGCATTGCAGCCTGTACAGTCGAACGTTGTTCTACCAGCTCCATGGTACGCACGAATTGGGCTGGATACCAAGTTCTACAAAGCACCATACGCCGTTGGCCTTCTATCTGTCGAATGTCTATATGCCTCCCTCACACGCAGTACCGCGCCTTCAACTGAAGTTTGATCCTGCAAACTATTGGTCGACAAAAAAGGCAGTCTCACTTGACATCGTCATATTATCAAGCCTATTGAGTGTAGATGTATCAGGGTTCAGGCGCTGCGTACCTTGGGCTACCTTGGGCCCCATGATCTACGCCACATGTCAGGTACCAAGAGTAGACGTGGAGTCCGTCATGTCTATGACCATCACTGTCTAAAAGGCGTCGGAGGCACTGGGGTGCAGCGCCTTCAAGGAGCTTCAAGGCCTAATCCCGTATGCCTTTACCGATAAAAAAGGCGGCGGGAGGTGACATCATGATGTATCACTTCGATGGCCGAGTGTCAAGCCAGTGCCAAGCCCCTTCAACGATGCTCGTTCCTACGGATGACTCAGACGAGACGGCCATCGACTCGTTGGACTATACCGCATCTATCAGTGGTGTGACAGGGTGCAAGCTATGCTCGGTTTCAGCGCAACTAGGAGACGTCAATTGGCGTTAGATCATGGGGTGAGCGGACTACACGATGAAGGCCTTTTTCAGCAGTCGCTCCAACTCCAGAGTATGGACTGTCGTTTTTGCCGATCCATAGGTTATGACACAGCTAGATATGGTAAAAGTACAACGCACATGACCCCCTCCCATACGGGTTGAATTACCTCTGGACAGCAGAGCGCTGTGATGTCTGGAGAGAGGAAACAAAAGACTAAATCGCACGAGCACGTGCAAGTGCCCCAAGCCGTCGGCTGTTTCGTGGGCATGTTTCCTCAGTGTTGCCTCCTTCCTCGCTGATATGCATCCCTCGATGAACACCAGTCTTTCACGACGGCTATGGGCTTGTGCTATGTCTCTGCCGCTGCTCTACGCCGAAGGAGAAGGCTGACAGACTTAAGACCCTCGCTCAGCACTCGTTCCGTCTTTCCATCGGGCCATCGTGAGAAAGCTCGAACCATCGGAATCACCGACATCCCACTGGAACACGGCACACATTGTTGTCGATGCTCACTAGGGGTTTGATGGGGCATATATAGGTCCTACTTTGTCTACACAATCCGACCTCTAATCACTTCCAATGTCCGACACTTCTACCCTGTCTTCTACCCTTGTTGCAGCGCTCAGCGTCGTCTCGGTCGTCTATGCATCATACAAGATATTTGGATGGATCCTGTACCCTTTATTGTTTTCTCTTCGGGACGTGCGAGGGCCAAAGGCGCCCAGCTGGTTCTACGGTCATATAAGAACCATCTCATACGAGGGGGAAAGAAATATGCTAGGAGACTTTGGAAACACGTACGGAAGAATCTTCAAGATCCGTGGTTTCTTCAACGTACGTATGTCTTGCTCGTATCACATTACGAGCTAACCATCACGTTGCTTCTTTGGGAGTGCAGCGGCCTCGGCTGGTAGCACTGGATACGAGAGCGCTGAGCCATATCCTTTCCCATCATGATGATTTCGTGAAGCCAGAGAGGGTCCGGTATACTCTTGGGCAGGTTGTCGGTCAAGGTTCGTCCGCTATTTCGCTTCTGTGTATCTCCTGAATCTCCTGAAATCACCGACGTGGGTCCGCTGCTTCAGGATTGCTTGTCGTCCAAGGTATGGCTCCACTGCTGAATATATTTATCCCTATAGGCCTAACCGTGCGTGTCTAATTGTAGGCGAACAGCATAAACAGCAGGTATGCGTGAAGTTTAGATAGTTATGAGTGCCAAAATTGACCGCTACTCTCCCACATAAAGCGAAGAATTATGGTGAGTTTATGACACCGAAATTCATTCCCTTCCGGTACTCACTAGGTGGAAATTAGAATCCCGCATTCGGTCCTGCGCAGATCAGAGAGCTCACAGCGATCTTTGTGGATAAATCAATCGAGGTACTTGGCACCTCACGATTCCCCGTCCGGATCAACTTACCCACATCCCTGCGCCTTAGCTCCGCAATCTGTGGATGTCAGAACTCACGTCAAACGGACAAAACGCGATCGACGTGATGGCCTGGCTGAACAAAATGACACTCGACGTCATCGGCTTAGCAGGTCGGTTGACGGCCTGCACCGAGCAGGTTCCAACAATGATATTTTGACATTGATGTCGTCTCCGTCGGACTATATAGGCTTCAACTACCCGTTCAACGCGCTGAGCCCGGACGGAAAGTCGAACGAGATGAACGCTGCTGTGCGCACGATGTTCGCAGAGCCAGACGGAGGACGGACCCGACTCACGATCCTGCAAACAGTCCTACCTCTTCTGAGGTTAATCGTGAGGTTTTTTATACAGTGTTGCGCAGTCTTCCTTCGGGCTGAGTTCGATACACTGATGATCAGCCGTCCGAGAGCCAAGCTCGCTACCGCGCCGCACAGAACACCATGATGAGAGTTGGACAAGAGCTTCTAGCGGAGAAAAAGAATGCCATTTTGGCGGGAAATGCTGGACACGAACACAAGATGGGAAGAGGGGCCCAAGAGTTCCAGGGTCGTGATTTGTTGAGTCTATTGATCAAGGCGAACATGGCCACAGACCTCCCTGAGGGCTCGAGGATGGTTGATCACGATGTGTTGGCTCGTGAGTAACGTTCAACTCGGGCTGCTTCGGGCTGATTGTTTTGTGACGAAATTATTAATTGTTGGTGCAGAAATTGCTACATTCATCGTCGCAGGCCACGAGACTACTAGGTAGAATCTCATCTCTTGTCCCCAGCGGCCTACATAACACTTATCTTCATCGTACAGCACTGCTGTCACCTGGGCGCTCTTCGCTCTCTCCAACAACCTCGACACGCAAACGAAACTCCGCAAGGAATTGGCTTCTTTGCCTACAGAGACGCCGAACATGGATGAGCTCGAAAACCTGCCTTACCTCGATGCTGTCGTCCGCGAAACTTTGCGCTTGTATTCGCCGGTAGCTAACACGGTGCGAGTTGCTATGAAGGACGATGTCATACCGACCGATGAGGAATGGGTAGACGCGAAGGGTGTTCGGAGGCAGGGAATTAGGTACGTCGCTATCATTTCGCACGGAGAACGGATATCATATTTCTAATGTGTGTCATAGAATCAAGGCAGGCGACGAGATTCTGATTCCCATTGCTGCGGTAAACAGGCTGAAAGCACTATGGGGAGAAGATGCTGGGAAATTTAAGTCAGCCCTTTATCGTTCCAGAATCGCGCACACTATATTGACTGGTCAATATGAATGGCAGACCTGAACGTTGGGAACACACGCCAAATGCTGTCCACTCAATCCCGGGTATATGGGGAAACAGCCTCGCATTCCTCGGCGGCCCACGCGCATGTATCGGATACCGCTTCTCCGTCGTCGAGTGCGTTATAACCTCCCCTGCGTCCTGCACTTTGCACGTATGCCCCCGACTGACTTGTGCACTGCGCACACAGAATGAAATCCTTGCTGTTCGTGCTCGTCAGGGCGTTCCAGTTCCAGGCGACAGCCGCGCCAGAGGACTTCAAGATTATGTCGACGATCGTGCAGCGACCCGTTTTGAAAAGCAGAGTGGAGCAGGGCCCGCAGATGCCGTTATTGGTCTCGACGATTTCGGCAGAGTAGATCCTTTGGGAATGCCCACTTGTCACGTTCTGCGCTGACAACCCATGCGTATCTCATTGTAGACTCAGTACCTCTGTGTGTTAACACCGTTGCACTTTCGTTCTGTTGCATTTAATATCTTATAGCATTGCTCTTACCTGGGTCCTACGGACCTCCCTCCTTTTTTCTTGTCTTTATTGCTCAAGCGTACAACGCTTGATTTAGCACAGACTTTTGCAAGACGGGCTAGAACATCGTACTTGGCAACTCCATAGATCTTGTTGCGCGTTTTACTGCCAGCATCAGTGGTAGTGATGACCCATCATTGCCGTTCCGATCGACAAGAAAGTGAACAGGCGCGACGGAACTACATGAGAATCCTTGCTTACTGACCCAGTGAACGACGGCCGTACTTTCGCATGACTTGGTTATACGCTTGGTCTTCAGTCTCAATCTAGCGATAGAACGAGAAAGATTAGAAGGGATATTCGGGAGACAGTTATCATCGACAAGGTGAGTTGAATACTCACAATAGCATTCGAGGTAACTGCACGTTGGTCAATGGGGCCGGATCGAATCAGGTAACAGTGCCCTCCGATTGCAGGTGTTTGCGTTCATGTTCGCCATACATGAGCTGATCGAGAATTCAGCAGTATACTAGTGCATCACAAAGCCTACAGGACAAAAATACAATATATCATGCCACTTGAATATTTGAGTGGTTTCTCTATGTGATTGCGCTGATCACGATATAGAATCGCTAGAGCGATACCATCTAGATGCAAATGCCTATGGCCAGCGGCAAGCCCATGTAGCACAATGCTCAATGGCTGACGAAGTCACGCAAAGTTTTATATTTGGAACCCAATAGAGGACCGAAGATCTTTAATTCGATCATCGACGAACGGCGGAACGGGAGACAATGGGGAGACTCATCTCTTCGAATTTGATTGTCAAGTTCCATCATTTCGGGTGTGCGCGTGCTCGTGCATCATGCACTAGCTTTTCATATTGAGACGCCTAAAGCCCATGCGTTGGCGCCTGCTCGCATTGGGGCGTTCAAACGGATTGGCGGAAGGAACGCTGCTAATGCCCTCCAATCGTCACTTTTATGTGTCAAGGTAAGCGCGAGCGCAAGCTGAATTGGAGTTGTGCCATCAACGGAGAGGTTGAGTGATGTTTCGGCAAACAGTGACGGTAAAGACGTTTTACTGGCGTGTATGAGCGTGCACATTTTGACATTTTGTAGGACTGTGCGTATACGTACGCGAATGATGAATGAAGACAGAAACACAGCCAACGTCAGACTTGTCTGGTGACAAAAGCCGATAGCTACTTCAACCCCTGTTCTGTGAAGTTCAGCGCAAGGCGCAAGTTAAGTAGCAACGTCTGCCCACATGCTGAAAAAGGATGAATATCGCTACTGAATTCACCCATTCTGGCGCTCGATCGAATTGACGCATCGTTGGCGAGGATCGGCGTCGAGATTAAATATTGATCAAACACCCGTACGATCCTGTCAAAGCCAGGAAGCGTGCACGATCCTCGGCCCTCGGCATGCTTCGAAAGGATTGAACGTGCAGACGAGTGCTCACCATTGAGTCAACGTGCACGCTCTGCTCGTGCATACTGCACTTGCCGCGACATCCTCGCCCGGCATCGTGCTTTCCGACTGCGTGTACCAACCCCGCTCATTCCCTATTGGTTGCCATATTCATCTGTGGCCACCTCTACCGTGCGGTGCCGGAGCTATGGAAGGTATCGGATGCGAATTGTGACCCGTGGTTTCATGAAGTACGAGCAAGGTGGCACACTGCACACTGCACACCTGCTGCCCGCTTCATACTCGCCTTCATGACCCTGACCTTGTCTTCGTGAAAGGTCCTTGAAGGCGGTGAGTGCATCGCGAAAGACAAGGGCTAGCCTTCATAGACTCCCAGATGAAAGCTCAGTACCAGTACCTAATAGTGCATGGTAAGGCTGTTAGTCATGCTATAGTGAGCGCCAAGAGGCAAAACAGGGGCATCCTCAGAGGTCCTTAGGTCTAGGATTTTATGATAGCAGTGCGTATGCATAGAATAGTAGCTGCAATTTCGTCTTAGTTTCGTCGCGCGCCTCTTTTTGCTATGCACTAAAGAAATCAGGATGTCAGCACACAGGGAGAAAAATAAGAGAACAGAGAGGCAAGACTTCAAGCTTCAGGCCCGGCAGTCTTTGGATGAGTCTCGGGTAGGAAGAATAGACAACCTGAAACGTAGGAAGAAGAAGAGACAGACTGATTATATGCCAGTGTCGTCAAGCTGATGTCGTTGATTGTTGAAAACGGTCTGGAGCGTTTCTCACGATCGTCGATACTCTCTTGCCGCCGACAAATATATGCTCATCTAGGCTCATCCACACCGTCCATAATGCTCGCACTATATGAACAATCTCAGACGCCGCATCGGCGAGCAATATCGTTTTACGATCACTGAACGTTTCCTGGAGGTAAGTTGAACATGCTTCTGGCATCATACTAATACGTTGCGCGCCATTGTCCTTTTCGCCCACCGCTGTCCAGGTTTTTCGTATATCCCCCACAGACGCCTCTGACCGCGTTGAAGCAAATTAGTTTGTCGGACGAAAGAGGTCACTTTCGTGCTCTGACTCCATGTTTGACTCGCACCGCGCGGCGCGCCTAGCTCCCGTCCCTAAAAGACGCCGATGGCATCCTTTCCTCTGGTCCAACAGAAGAACAAGCACATTCTTGCGCACGGACACGGACTCCAATAGGAACTTCTTTTTAAAGAACATTCGAGAAGGGATTCTGAGTGATTGGCGAGGCGACGAGCCTCGATGCGTGTAGGGCGTGTAGATGAGTCTTACTTACGAACGTTTTCGTGAGTGTCTGTTCTAAATTCAGTTTTTCCTGAGATAGTAACATTGTCTTCTCAGTGTTTCACTGTGGTATTGGATGAGCCAGCACTGTGATGTACCACTTTGACATGTCAGGGCACCGCAATCTCCTTGCTTTGCATGCGTCCGTGTGCGCCGCGGTGGTCTGGAGAACAGGATTACGGTCTTCGTGTCGATGTGGACGGTTTCCAACACGATGTAGGGTGTGCCCGTGTAGATCAAGTGTAATGGTTGTCCCGCTCAAATGAGGACGGCTGACCACTTTCAGGTTATTCTGTGACACCCGAGATCGTAAGGTCGTTTTCGAGTAGGTGGAAAGGCCCGACATGAAGCTGAAGACCTTGCAGAACATCTGGAGGGATTTTCATGTATTGTGTGACCGTCGCCTCGTATGCATTCTATGTAGTATTCATTTACATCTAACATCCTTTGATTCCTTTCCGATCTGCCCATGGCTTCGCCGATCTGCCTGCAACGTTGGTCTCGCTAAGTTCTGATTTCAGCATGTTCTTCGAGGTTATATACTCCGTCGACGGATACCTGAGTGCATATCCTCAGCTCCATCATTAGCTTGCGTGTCCATACAGACCGCCTCCACCCATGTCTTCAGTAACACCGTGAGCTTTGCTGAAGCCTCCATCCTGTATGCCTTCGAATTCTGACATAGTGACTCAAGTAATGCTCTTGACTTCCAAGCGCCCTTCCTGTTCACGGTCTCAGGCATGTACTCCTTATTTGATTGATTTAGGGCCTTCCTCTTACGCTTAGCATGGTAACAGCTATTCGCGCCGTCGATCTGCCCAAAGTACAAGGTCTCTTTTGCATTCGGAACATCAATGGTAGATTCTACTGTACCATCACGATTGACGAAAAGCAAGAACGCACCGAGGTTGCTCGCCGAGGCAGTTCTCCAGAGTGGGATAAATCGTTCTCCTTGTGAGATAATGTTTCCGTTCCGCTTTTCATTGACATTGCTGACTATGATATCTCACGGTTTGCAGTTATGCCCACCCGTCTTCAACTTTGACGCTTCACATCTATGCTTGCAGAAGGATACGCAGGGACCAGCATATCAGCGTGATCACAGAACCCATCTCAACGTTGTGTTCTTCAATAATCAACGGCGGCACTGAAGGTTCGCCGGTTGCTCGATATTGACTGTGTTCACAGAATTCACACCTATCAGAGTTCACCAGGTCTATTCCAGGAGAATCAAAGGCTCGACTCAAGTTGCGGATTATAGTAGGAGGCAATAAAGAGACACCGATTAATGCACTTGCAAGCATTGAGCGCGCGTTACCCGCTGTGAAATCTCCCTCAAGAGCTGTCGGCACAACGCTGGAAGACGTGGCCTCTGGTGCCGAAGTTGTCCAGGGTCTTTCCGACGCTTCGAGATCCCTCTTTGGAAAGATGAAGGTCTTCTGTGATCTGATGGACCTGGTGACGGAAGTATGTAATGAATATACACGTCGCAATTTCAGGCAACTAACACCTAGTTTGCGCCAGGTTCAACCCTATTCGAGAATGGCTTGGATGGTCGTCTCTGCGGCCCAAAAGGTTGTGTTTCCTTGTATCTTGGAGGCATTGTCCACGGTCCTGACGATGCATTATTCTCATGAAGCTTTTTGAGAAGTCAAAGGAGCACAATCGACAAGTTCAGAAGCTGGTCGCAACCATGGACTCACTCTACAACATCGTGAGCGAATTGAAGGTCAATCCCGAGAAGATCCAGTCTCATCAAGGCCTGCTGCGACGGATAGCTCAACAGACCACGGAATGTTGCTACTTTATCCGTGAAGGTGTTAATAAGGAGGATTTCGGTAAGCTTCAACTCGCCCCGATAAAATCCTTTTGTTCATTTCCTTCTTTCCTGAACAGCGGATCGGCACCGACTTTCTGTGACGGATGCCCATATTGATAAATATTGCGCAGCATTCGCAGACATGGAGAAGGAATTCTATGGTCGACTAGTCGGCCAAGCTGGGATTGCTGTCATGCGCATCCTGGACGTTGTGGAAGACCATCGTATGTTAAACATATTTGTTGGCTACCTGTGTCCGACTGACTTGTCTGTCTAGCCACGGAAACCAATTTGGATGGCATGCCGTACGCGAACGGTGTCAGCTTTGATATGTCCAAGAGATGTCACCCGGGAACTCGCACGAGCCTTTTGGATGAGATTGCAGATTGGATCAATGCAGAGGATGCTCCACGGGTCCTCCTACTCTCTGGTGCTGCGGGTACGGGTAAATCGACCATCTCCCACACTATTGCTCATCGATTCAAGAATGTGGGTCGTCTCGGAGCGTCTTTCAGCTTCACACGTGGACAGGCGGACCGTGGGCCCAACAAGCTCCTCTCAACGGTCGCGCAGGATTTGGCTGACTTGGACCAGCACATACGACGCGCTCTGGGCGAGGTTGACCATCGCGATAAGGATCATCAGACCATGTCAAACGTTCGCACACAGTTTGAACGTCTCATTCTAGAGCCAATCAAGACACTCGTGTTTACTGGCCCCATCGTCATAGTCATTGATGCTCTAGACGAAAGTGGTGATCCCACATCTCGCGAAGAGCTGCTTCAGGTACTGGTCACCAGGGCTCAGGATCTTCCGGCCAATTTTCGCATCTTCCTCACATCCCGCCCCGAGCCAGATATCGAGCGTTTGTTCCGACACAATGATCGCGTCGCCGTAAAGAGGATGTGGGATCTTTCGCCATCATCGACCGAGGCCGACCTCAAATTATACATTCACGCACGTCTGAGCGATCCTGATCTCGATGACATCGATGACGAATGCAGGCGCACGCTTGTTTCAAAATCAGCCGGTTCATTTCAGTGGGCATATGTTGCCTGCGAGTTCATCAAAGGCATGGGGATGCCAGGATCTGCCTCTAGGGAGCGATACGACCTTTTAATCCAGGGCACGACTGGTAAAGCCCGGCCACTGGATCATCTGTATAGGATGGTTCTATCTCATTTTTTCCAAGCAGGAGGCTCTTTGGTCCTGAACAGGTTCAAGCTCCTCATGGGACTTCTATTGGTCGCGTTTGAACCCCTCTCCGTTGGGCTGCTGAACAAATTACTCCACGCTGCGAGAGACGGAAACCCTGGTTTTAAGGTGAAAAATATCTTGGACTACATGGGCTTTTTGCTGAGCGGCGTCACCGGAGATGAGCCTGTCCGTCCTCTGCATGCCTCATTCCGTGACTTCTTGTTGGATCCTTCCCGCAGCGTCGAATTCTGTGTCGATACGTCGCAAGCGCACCGAGACTTGATTTTGGCTTCATTGTATATCATGAAGAAGGAGCTCGCATTCAACATATGCGGCCTAGAATCCTCTTATGTCTTGAATCAAAACATCCCCGACCTCGCGGACCGTATCCAGAAGCATATACCGGCTCGTCTTTCGTACTCTTGTCGCTTCTGGGCAGAGCACTTGCGAGGCTTGCGTTTCGCCATTGACCCGATACTCTTGAAGGACATGGAAGTGATACTTACCCAAAAATTCCTGTTCTGGCTCGAAGCGATGAGCCTCCTCGGTGATATATCTGGATGCGCACAGGCATTGTCTTTTCTCGCCGATTGGAGTTCTGTAGGTATTTTCAATTTCAACAACAGATAAAGATACTCACAATAGATTGTCTTGCCTAGGGTACGAATACAGGCCAAATTTCGCGGCTCGTGAGTGATGCTCGAGTATTCGTGAATACGTTCGCATTTCCCATGTCACAATCCGCTCCGCACGTCTACTTGTCTGCCCTCCCATTTACACCACCAACTTCTACGGTGTTCAGGTCATTCAATGGCGAGTTCCCTCAAACGATATTCCGGGATTGGGCTGGGGCTACTGGTCATTGGCCGGTCGTCCAGGATGTCATACATGCAACCGTGACTACAGTCGTCTCATCGCTCATGTTCTCACCAGACGGCTCGCGCATCGTGACAGGTTTGCAGGACAGTACGATCAGGTTATGGGATGCGAAAACTGGCGCAGCAGTGGGCGAGCCTCTACAGGGACATAAAAGTCGGGTCCAGGCTGTTGCTTTCTCACCTGACGGCTCGCGCATCGTGTCAGGCTCGATCGACAAGACGATCCGGATATGGGACACGGCAACTTGTGCCACTACGTGCAAGCCTCTCGAGGGACATACAGGTTGGGTACAATGTGTCGCTTTCTCCCTCAACGGCCTGCTCATCGTATCAGGATCAATCGATACCACTATCAGGATCTGGGATGCAGCTACAGGTGCAGCTTTGGGCGAGCCTCTCAAAGGTCATGTAGATGATGTCCTGTCCATTTCTTTCTCGCCAGACGGTTCGCGCATAGTGTCGAGCTCAATTGATGCGACAATCCGGATATGGGATGTGGCATCAGGGGCGGCCCTGGGTAAGCCTCTCAAGGGACACACAAGTTGGATTCGATCTGTTGTTTTTTCGCCGGATGGCTTGCGTATTGCATCAGGTTCGGACGACAAGACAATCAGGATATGGGATTCAGCAACAGGTGCCGCTGTAGGCCAGCCTTTCGAAGGACACACAAATCGTGTCCAGTGCGTTGCTTTCTCGCCAAACGGGTCGCACATCGTGTCAGGGTCAACTGATGCGACAATTCGGGTGTGGAATTCGGCGACGGGCGTCGCTGTGGGCGAGCCTCTTGAAGGACAAGCAGATGATATCCTATCCATCACTTTCTCGCCAGACGGTTCGCATATAGTATCAGGCTCAAATCATGCGACGATCCGGGTATGGGATGTGGCAGCGCAAATCGCTGCAGGCGAGCTTTTCGAAGGGCACACAGATTGTGTCCATTCTGTCGCCTTTTCCTCCAACAGCTCCTACGTTGTGTCAAGTTCATCCGACAAGACGATCCGGCTGTGGGACGCGGCAACGGGGTTCGCTATGGGCGAGCCGCTCAGGGGACACACTGGTTGGGTTCAGTCCGTTGTTTTTTCACCAGATGGCTCGAGAATCTTGTCAGGCTCACGCGACTCAACAATCCGGGTATGGGATACGGGAACAGGCACCGCTGTGGGCGAGCCTTTGGAAGTAGGCACTCTTGGGGTCCAGTCTATCGCTTTCTCACCAGATAGCTCGCGCATTGTTTCAGGCTTGGATAACGGGACTCTCCGAGTTTGGGACACGGAAACAGGCGCAGCTGTGAGTGAGCCTTTCATGGGGCACGCAGGTTCGGTGCATTCCGTCGCTTTCTCGCCAGATGGTTCGTACATCGTATCAGGCTCGTTTGACAAGACGATACGGATCTGGGATGCGACAACAGGTGCCTCTGTGGATGACCCCTTCGAAGGACATGTAGATCAGGTTCATTCTGTTGCCTTCTCGCCAGACGGCTTATACATCGTGTCAGCCTCGCGAGACTGGACGATCCGGCTGTGGGATACGGCAACGGGTTCTGTGGGCCAGTTTTTCGAAGGACACACATCCTGCGTCAATTCCGTCGCCTTCTCACCAGACGGCTCGCGTATCGTATCAGGCTCATCAGACAAGACGATACGGTTGTGGGATACGGTAACAGGTGCTACTCTGGGTGAACCTTTCGAGGGACATACAGATAGTGTCATGTCCGTTGCTTTCTCGCCAGATGGCCTGCACATTGTCTCGGGCTCGCGCGACGCGACCGTCAGGGTGTGGGATGCACCAATGAGTCTCTTTGTCGGTGAGGCTCCTTCTGGGCATGCGAAGGAAGATGAATCATCTTCAGCCTCCGAGAAAGATGGCGGTGATCTGGCTGCGTTGGACTCAAACACTCTGGTTTCTGCTCCGCATCATGGTGAGTATATGTCATGTGTTTTAGCAAATCCTTTCGACTGGAGTCTGATTTTTATTTTCAAATAGTCCCAATTTTGTTCTCATCGCGATGCGAGCACGCATTGCCCAATGTGGACAACCTCTATGCATCCTCTATGCCGCCTCAAGTCCATTATCGTACATCTAGACACCTGACCGAGGATGGTTGGATGATGGGTCCGGCATCGCAGCTCTTGTTCTGGGTGCCCAGTGCGTTTCGCGATAAGCTGTGGCCTGATGGAAGGTTGAGGCGAGTTATTGGGAGAGAATATTTACAGCTTGACCTCAGTCAATTTATTCATGGATCCTCTTGGACTGATTGTTATCGCCCTTCCGCATCTTAGCACTTCCTGCCTAGTGTATTGTTATCTCTACGGCGTTGAACCACGACGCCCCAGCGCTCTTCCCAATGCCTTACTATTTTATATCGCGCAAACCTACTTACCTCGCACCCCTCACACGTCAATAATTATGGGTACTCCTAATTAAGTACGCGCACCGGAAGCGCGTGCCAAATCTGCCCCGCAATATTTTAAACGTTCTGCAGAACGAAAGAGCTATTGTTCACACCTACTATCGGGAGTGTCAACGTTGTCAATCCCGAAGCGCATTACAGCTCTTCGCAGTTCACTATATGAGCGGCCCCGGTGCTGTCGATCTCGCTCATCACTCAAGGCGACCTATAAATGCGGAAAATAATATGAAGGCTGTCCATTCACGCACTAATGCTGAACTCATCTGACACCGCATTCCTCGTGAAATCACGCTGCTAAGCTGTATGATAGTGTCCACCCCACACGAAATACGCCGTGGTGGGAGGGGAGAAGAAAGGGAGTGAAAACGGAACACTGGGAGGGCACGCCCACAAAAATATCCACATGATCCAATAAAAACGCAAATACGAAGCATATTCTTCGGGAGAGGCACTGCGCGTCCCTGTTTCACAATGTCCAAGCAGTCCAGAGTCCAGTCCAGACCAGGAGATGGAACGAAATGGAGGACAAAGCGAGAAGCGACCGAAAAGATGCGGTCGAGTTTACTGAATTTCATCGAGGAGACTAGAACGTGATATACACTAGTGATGTGTTGTGATGTTGTCATTGGTGAGCTGCCGCGAAGTGTCGGAAGTGTTCGAGGAGAGAAACGACATGGGCGAAGATGGGCAAGGGCTTCGGCAGACTTCGGCGCTAGACTGATATTTCTCATGTTCCTCGCTCTGTTCCATACCAGCACCACCGACGCTTGTCCTCGTTGTCACCACGATGCCTAGGACCTCTTTCTCCGCAGCAATTTACTTGAAGGCGGTGCTTGGATGTCCTGGCGCAACCTGCGTCCGCCGTTTCTCACTTAGCCTGCTGAAGGACCTGCTGCAACCACAACATCCACGACAATTTAAGACCTATGCTCAACTTGAAGTGCCTCTGCATCACGACCTGTTTAGCTCGTTTCCGACGCTCAAAAATTCGCTGCCTATGGATCTACTTCAAGTTGGAGTCTACATTGTCTCTATCTCTGAGATCCGAGAGTGTCAGCCGGTCCGAAGTCAAGAACTGCACGACAATGTTTCAGGTGAGTTCTATTCCCTGGCAGCGCAGGTCTGACCCCCTCGGATGATGATCACATAGAGTATGTCTGTGCCACCTAGCAGTCAGCCTCATCTGAAAGCTTACGATGCTGCATGCTGTCCATGGCATATCACTGGGCAGGACTGGCATGTTTCACATTCTAATTTAAACTTGTCAGGGCGACCATGGGCTGGTTGCATGTCCTCCAAGGTGCTGCCATCCGACAATCACTCACACCTCTCTATACATCTACATTTGATAGAAAATGTCTACGTCTTTCGCGACATTGCCTGTGCAGACTATCAGAACTTAGGTATTGCGCGGCTCACTCGTCAATTCAATCGGACCTTGAGGCTCTTAGTTTCCTCTGAAGTTCATCGTGGACTGGCCGATGTTTCACATCGCTGCATGCTCCCCTAGCTGCCCACCTTCTCTACGACCGAGGTAGGCGCATTGTGAATCGTGAGCATAAGATTCTGTTCAAGCCGTCTAATCATATTTGCGCTCAACCTCCATCTTCGACAGCTATCAAGCTTCTCGACAGGTCATTCTTCGCTTGAACGATCAAAGCTTCTTCAAGGTCAACATGTCCGAGCTCAACATCATGAAGACAGGGTCGGTTCAGTCTTCGAGAATGTCGTCATCTGAGGTATAGCTGCAGACTCTGTTAATGTGAATCACAGTTGACCTTGATGTTTTCAGTCTTTAATCACCCTCTTTTCTAGCATCGAGGCACCTGTCGTCACTGCGGCAAGCTTGAAGTCGACTTGAATACGCTGTGATGGATTTCTGATATGTGCTTTGATCACAGCTCATCCTTCCTTGGCACACTGGTGGCGATGGCGAAGACGTTTTGGACTTGATCCGAATGGTCATGACAAATATCCATGGTACCGACTTCCTCGACATCCGACGAGACGCTCACATTGTGTTCAAGGCCCTGCACCGATTTTTTAGTGAGTTCAGTCGATATGGAATCCGGCCAGCCATCCTGACTGGTAGATACATCGCAGTACTACCAACGTAGGTCTGAGCATAAGAAAGCGGAGAGGGTGAGGCAGGCGGAGGCATGGCGTGGATGCAGACTGTCCCAAGTCGCACTGGGGATTATGATCTCTCACAAGGTTATGGAGATACGACGCCGTTGCAAGAGCGCCACGCCTGCTGCTCTTGTGCCTGAGAATTCCACTGCGTTCTCCGCCACCTGCTTTTCGTCTGCGCCTCTTGATATCACGATGTCCACTGCCCAAGAATCGTCTGTCTCAGTTGCTCCACCGTCGACCGCTCTCACCTCAGTCACTTTTTTCTCTGTCTCGGCGTCGTGGAAGGGTATAGCTTTGTACAGTGCTTCTGGCTCGGTTCTTGCTTCGCCTACTCCGTATGACTCGTCTTCGTTACCCTCCCCACGCCTCCAATCTCCGTCTCTCCTGCCTCTGCTTGTTCTTCTAATGGTACCCTCGTTTCCGAAGACGCCAAGCCCCCAGAGACTTTGCGCCACCCTGATCTAAAGCCCCTCGCGTTCCTCGGACGCGGTGCCTACGGCACTGTCTATCTCGCAGCCCACATCGAGTCGGGCACGCGACTCGCGGTGGAGGTGGTGCCAAAGTCGAAACCTGCAGAGATATCAGGCAGTGCGCTGATGCTTAAATCAGCGATGGATCAGGTTGTGAACGAGCAGAGGGTGATGAGGGCCGTGGATGCGAGCGGGCGAGAAGGGTTCTTGCCGTTGCGTGCGAGTCGGCACGATTCTCAGAATTTCTATTTGGTCACGGTGAGTTTAGACTGAACTTTTCTTGATATAAAGTTCACACAGCCTGTTCCTTCAGCCGTACTGTTTCAAGGGTGATCTTGCGCGGGTGATCCAATTCTGGGGCAGCGGCAAGATACCTCACTCCCTCAGCCGGTACTACGCTGCCAAGCTCGTACGTCCTGTCCCTTTTCATCAGTCCCTCGACCTGACCAAAACATCGCAGCTAAAATTATTGGAAGGGCTTCATGGCTTTGGTATCATACACAGGGACTTGAACCCTGCCAATATCCTTTTCGACGCGGAAGGTTGCCCTCTCATCGGCGACTTCGGTCTGGCTAGGATGTTTCATGTCTCCTATGACCTTGATGGTGAGGTGCTACTGCCAATGACGGGTCTGTTCGATCGGAAGGCCGACAAGCCTGCAAAGCACACCTACTTGAACTGCGGCACGACCGCATACATGTCTCCTGAGGCGCTCAAGCGTCACCTTTATTCGTACGAATCTGATCTTTGGTCGTATAGCTGCATCTTGTATGAGATGCTTACGGGTCGCGTGAGTCGCATCATCATTGTGGCCCCAAAAAGACCTGACGTATGTAAACCCTCAGGCTGCCTTTGCCAGTGCGGACGCCACACTGAGCGAAGAAGCAGCATTCAAACCCTGTGACTCCGTCGACCCGTTGACTCAGATCTTTGTCCATCTCGTGCTCAACAAGGAGCGCGCTGACAGACCGAAGCTTTCTGCGATGAAGTCGCACCCCTACTTCATATCTATGTGAGTCCCATCGTGTGATGCCCAACCTGGAATCAGGTTCTCATCAGCGATCTCCCCTCCAGTGACTGGGAGAGGATCTCAAAGAACGAGATCAAACCGTCGTGGGTCCCGCTTACCCGAAACCCATTCATGCGCTCCTACATATATCTCTCCATTGGACCTCCAACCTCCCCCAGTCAAGACCCGTCCCCGGACTTTGCTTTCACTTCTCCTAATCTATTCGATATCACTCTGCCTCTTACCAAGGAGACGGAGTCGTCTACCCCTCCCTGTGACCCCACCGCTGTCGAGTGCAGCGTCTTGCGTGGGTTTTTCAGCAAAGCGTTTGGGTGAATCGAACCCATTACCCCATCCCTATGTGTCTCGAACATCCCACCGTCCTCAGTCAAGGAGGCCCAGGCTGTTGCCCTCAATATTTGCCCTGATTTGACCAAGTGCGGCGCTGGAGGTGACTTCATCTGCACAACGTCCACACGCTCCAGGGCTGGTGATTTGTCCGCTCCCTCTTCCTCCTCTCATGCCTCTGCAACCAATCTACTGGTCCGTGAGCGGCAGGCCTTGATGGAGCACAAAGCACTTCAATGCGACGAGGACCCAAACATGTTCGACAGTCTCGATCAATCTTCAACACAATTATGCCGGCCTTCTCTTCTCGGAGCGTACCTGTGTGCGTGTGGCGTCTATGAAGCTTCTCGATGCTAGCGCACCTAGCTCGAAAGTCGGAAGGTGGATGAAAAGGTTGCGCGCTGGATGGAAGGCGAAGAATGACTGAGCCTCCTTCTCGAGCCGTTTCGGTGTCATTCTTGCTTCTGTTTGTAAATTGAAATCAAGAAGTTTGGACATAAAAAGCGAGAGTGCAAGCGAGAGTGCAAGCGAGAGTGCAAGCGAGATGCGCCCGACCTCAACTGTACACTGTCTATCGATGGGAACGTTGAGTGCCTCCCGCCAGCTTGCACAGATAAGCCAGTACTGTGAAGAACGCACAGTCATTTATGTATACAAGTAGTACGCACATTTTTCGCTCTATACTCATCCGTCGCAGTTCTCGACTGCCAGACGGTGGCTCTCTGTCGAGCGGGCTACGGAAGATGTGCTGGTTGACAGGGCTCTGATCGCTGTGGTGATCGTGATGCTTAGAAGAATCACCGAGGGTGAAAAGTGAGCGAAGGAGCTCACATGAATGCGAAATCAAAATGCACAGGATCTCCAAAGCGTGCCGGTCTGCATGCTCGTTGCTGAGTGTCAGTTGGACAGAGTCCTTGGTTACTGAGTTGCCTTTGTCCCATGAGTAGAAAGTCTCATCGTGATGCACGTTCGGAAAGTAAAGGACCCGGCACTTGAGAATCATAACTGTTATGTACATAACGGTTCATTCGAGGATAGGTATGCTTCATGGGAGTGTTGAAGGCAATTGTAACTTGAGCGCCTGGAATAGCATGTATATCGTGCGCCTGTCCGAGTTGGTCGGCTGTGCAAGCTCTTCCGCCACCTAATCAGAGGGTACGATCATATAGGCAGACACGTCTATACTCTGAAGCTGTTCAAGTCTCTCAGCGTCAAGATAGTGGAGCCAGAAACGAGCGTGTAGCCTTGTGCACCATTGCCGCATGGACACGACCGACGACTGTAGAAAACAAGGGACGATACATTGCAACATAGAAAGCAATGACATGATGAGGCATTCAGAAATCACACACAATCTGTATGAAGAGGCTCGCCGCCGCCGCCACACTGATCGGCCAGATTATTCCGTCGAAACCCATCCGGCACTGCCCCATGACCTCCTATTGAAGCCTGCGTCGTTAGCAAAGGGCTGTATCCACACATCGAGGTTAGGCGTGGGCGGGACTGGCGCGAGGCCCTGCAGAGCAAGGCCGGGCGGAGTTAGAGTCGAAGAGCGAAGTAGGGAGGAAAGAGACTAGGGAGCGAGAAAGATAGCGTGTACTACGTGCCCGTGACGCCGGAGGTGAGGTCCATTCGGTGCATCATCCAGGTCACACGTGTACAAACTGCCACAGCCCCTAGCGAGTCCCTCCATCGAGGGACGATACACGCTTGGGAACATCCCCATAGCCACGGCATCATGCATTCAGCCCTGCGCGCACGCATATATGCTTCTGAATCCACAATTTGGGCATTGTTAGCGTCGTCGCATGCGAGGCTGGCGGCGCAAGTTGCAGGTGCCTGTCAAAGTTGGGCTGTAAGATGATGGAGATAGCGCATGTGTAGACGCGATGGGGCACGACGCAAGCAACAAGCATCAATTTTGCGGTGTCCGCGGTAGGCTGAATAACAGACGCGAGCAGAGAACACGAAGCGTGACCTAAGAGGACAGACGGTGAAGAACTCTGAGAAGCACAGCAGTGCAGATGGTGCACGCAAGGAAGAGAACAGAGATAGAGAGGATGCTCATGATATGATTGCGCCAAATGCACTGCACATCAGTAGGCCAGGACAAGAGGCACAGACGTTCAACAGTCGTTGTCTAAATTTGCGAGAAGGTGTGAGCAGTCCCAATTTAATGTCGACGAAACTCGAAGCGAGGCTGACTTTGAGTAAATCAACGGGTGTGCGCGGGAGTAGATTTGAAAACAAGATAGATACTAGGTCGAAGAAGGATTAAGCGTGGATGTTATCGAAAGTAACGCACAACGTGTATTTTTCGTCATATTTTAGATGCTGGAGTGATGCCCCACACAGCGAGCACGGAACACGGGAGATTGAGAGGCTCACGAAAAGACTTGCATAGTTCCCGGTCCAAGCATGTCTGGAGTACAGAGGCAATGATGATTGTCCGATCCAATGGGCGAATGATGTATGCGGGGAGTGACAAAGTAACGGCACATGACGTGCGTTGAGCATGCCTCTAGTGAGCATTTGTCCCTCGATATAACAGAGTGCTCTTCGAAGCGGCGTTGAGGATAGCGTAGACAACACGAGTGTTGTTGAGCGCAATAAGATTGAGTGGATGTCCGAGAGGGAGCATCGATGGCCGTGAGAAGCGCTCGTGACCTTCGCCCTCCGAATCTCAGGCTGCGTTCCCGTCGAGCCACGCTCACTTTCCTCCCTCCGTCTACGTCCCGCACTGCTCATTCCGAATTCCCGAGCTGACTGCTTCTGTGCACTCCTGCGAACTGCCATCCGTTCCGCCTACCAAATCTGTGTACTCCCATTCGAGCCAGTCTGTCATGATCATAATGACAGCATAGGCCGTCCCATGGAGCCGGCTCCCTTCGGGTCGACGCTTCAAACGGCACGCTCACTGTGAAAGCCATACCACATCAATCATCGCCAGAGTATCACAGCAGGCGAGGCTTGCTCATAGACGCGGCGGCGCAAGCTCTGTGAGATACGCTGGAGTCTGCGGCGACATCGTACCAGCCACGATTCTTGAGTCTGCTGCAGCCAACGACTATCAGTCGGAAGCAAACAGGTACACCGGTTCAATGTCGCAGCTCATACCAGGAGGTGCGCGCGTGTCTGTTTTTGCTCATTCCAATCTGCCATAGGGCACGACTGCCAGACGTCGGCTCTCTAAATGCGCGCTGATAAATGCAAGGAGTGCTCGTTGGCAGGCCTCCCTCTTCTTCTCGACGAATTGGTGGGCACTCCAAGATTTCGACCCCTCCTGCGCATTCTTCGGCTCTGCACACATTGCACATGTCAACGGTGGGCCGAGTGAAGGTTTCGTGTATGTGGTGTGTTAGCGGTAGAAGATCGCGAATCAGATCACTGTGTACAATTGAACGAACTTTGTCCTGAATACATGCGGCATGCAAAAAACTAGTCTAGGTACACAGAGCAGGGAAACTTATAACCACATCGTACATAGCAGAAAGAGATGAAAGAGTCCGATCCAAACCACTACGAGAGAGAAGGACGATAACACTCGTGCCAAGAAGCACCATGAACAAATTGACTAAGGTCTAGTTGTATGAGCTGCTTTCCAATGGCAAATTGAAGCCTTGGATCAGGCCATAATCTATCGCGGTACGCGGCGGGCACCCAGAATACTAGTTCTGATTCTGGACCCACTATCCAACCGTCGCTGTTGATGTGTCTATATGGACGATAGTTCCATGCAGGTTGTGGCGTAGAGCTATAGAGGCCATCTTTGCGCATTGTGTGTTCCGGAAGATGTGATATGAGAATGAAGGCTGTGAGATGTTCAAGTCAGATAGGCTACTCTGTGCTCGACGAAGACAAAGTTCAACTAACTAGGATACACGGATGGAAGTTCAGATAGATATATGGGAGGCGTGTTGCTGGGGGCTGAGCGCGGCGTCATTTCTGGGCCATGGACCACATTGGTCGAGACATCTTGAATGCAGGGCGCATCCCACACCCGGATTGTGTAGTCGCCCGAGCCTGACACGATCCGCGACCCATCTGGCGAGAAAGCAACAGAGGAGATGCTTAGTGAGTGTCCCGTAAGAGGGTCACCCACTGCAGCATGCGTTTTCGCATCCCAGACCCGGATTGTGCGGTCATCTGATCCTGACACAATCCGCGACCCGTCTGGCGAGAACGCAACAGAATGAACTGGACCTCCATGTTCCTCGAAAGGGCCACCCAATGCAGCATGTGTTGCGGTATCCCAGACCCGGATTGCGCCGTCGCTCGAGCCTGACACAATCCACTTCCCGTCTGGCGAGAAAACAACAGAATATACCTCACCTGTGTATCCCTTGAGAGGGTCGCCCACAGCAGCATGCGTCATCGTATCCCACACTCGGATTGTGTAGTCGTCCGAGCCTGACACGATCCATTTCCCGTCTGACGAGAATGCAACAGAGGTAACACCTTTTGAATGTCCCTTAAGAGGGTCACCCACTGCAGCATGCGTTGTCGCATCCCAGACTCGGATTGTCCTGTCTCCCGAGCCTGACACGATCCATTTCCCGTCTGACGAGAATGCAACAGAGGTAACACCTTTTGAATGTCCCTTAAGAGGGTCACCCACTGCAGCATGCGTTGTCGCGTCCCAGACTCGGATTGTCCTGTCTCCCGAGCCTGACACGATCCATTTCCCGTCTGACGAGAATGCAACAGAATGGACTGAACTTGCGTGTCCCTCGAGAGGGCTACCCACTGCAGCATGCGTTGTCGCATCCCAGACTCGGATTGTCCTGTCTCCCGAGCCTGACACGATCCATTTCCCGTCTGACGAGAATGCAACAGAATGGACTGAACTTGCGTGTCCCTCGAGAAGGTTTCCCACAGAAGAATGCATGGTAGAATCCCACACCCGGATTGTGCAGTCATTTGAGCCTGACACAATCCGCGACCCGTCTGGGAAGAAAGCAACAGAGGAGATGCTTAGTGAGTGTCCCTTAAGAGGGTCACCCACTGCAGCATGCGTTGTCACATCCCAGACCCGGATTGTGCAGTCATATGAGCCTGACACAATCTGCGACCCGTCTGGAGAGAATGCAACAGAACTAACCAAATTTGTGTGCCCCCTGAGAGGCTCGCCCATAGCAGCATGCGTTTTCGCATCCCAGACCCGGATTGTGTGGTCACCCGATCCTGACACGATCCACGACCCTTCTGGCGAGAAAGCAACAGAAGTGACCCTATTCGTGTGTCCCCTGAGAAGGTCACCCACAGTGGTACACGTTGCCACATCCCATACCCGAATTGTGTTGTCTTTCGAGCCTGACACGATCTGCGACGCGTCTGGTGAGAATGCAACAGATAAAACCGAGTCTGTGTGTCCCTCAAGAGGGCCGCCCACTGCAGCATGCGTCACTGTATCCCATACCCGGATTGTATTGTCGTCCGAGCCTGACACGATCCACTTGCCGTCTTTCGAGAAGGCAACAGAGCGGACCCAATATGTGTGTCCATTGAGGGGGTCTCCACTAGCTGCACGCGTTGCGGTATCCCAGACCCGGATTTCCCTGCTGAGCGAGCCTGACACAATCCACTTCCCATCTGGCGAGATAGCAACAGAAAGTATCTGATCTGCGCGACCCTTGAAAGGGTCACCCACCGCATCACCCGTCGACACATCCCACACCCGGATTGTGTAGTCATTCAAACTTGACACGATCCACGACCCGTTGGAAGAAATTGCCACACAACTGACTGCAGAGCCTGCATGGATGCTATGTTGTGCTGCTGGCCAATGGTTATCCGCCCCAACCTCGACCTTCAGCACCTGAGGAAATTCTTTCCAAAACCTTTTGAACACATCGGAGCTTTGTGGAGAGAATGCCAAGGCGGATAAGTAGATGTGGGGAGTAGACTGTGATATGGGGAACCCGAACATGTTTATGAAGGCTTGCGCGTCAGTTGCCAATTTTCTTATTTGACTTGTATGCAGACCCTGGACAATGATATAACATTATTGACACCTCATCTTATTATTTTTATAACTGCGAATATCACGTACCGATGCCCATTTTACTATTGAGGCAACGGCTCGCGCTGCCCCAGATACTGCACCGAGGAGACTCATCACCTCGAGCCAGAACAGTAATTTTTCCTTGAGAAGCACTTCAATGCCTTTCAGCACCTTGAGTTCGGATGCGACACCTGCTCCTATAGCTTGCAAGTGACTTTCCCAGAACCGGCACGAATAGGAAAGATGTGCGGGTATTGATTCTCGAACGCGGTCGGCAAGGTCGGGGATGTGCCTGTTCAACAAATACGAGGATTCCAGATGGCAGATATTGAACGCCAATTGTTTCTCCATGATATGCAGCGAAGCGAGGGTCAAGTCTCGGTGAGTTCGGGATGTGTCAACATGATATCTTCCACTGCGTGAGGGATCCAACAAGAAATCACGGAACGAGGTATGCAATGGACGAATCGGTTCTTCCTCCGCAACGCCTCGCAGCACAGACCCCATACCCCCCAAGATACTTTCCGGTCGCAAGCTGATAATCCCATCCTCGACGTTACGAGACATCTCACTGAGCGATTTGACTGAGACAGGCTCGAATGTCGTCAACACCAGCGCCATGATGAATCGGAAGCCGTCCATGATTGATTCATCCAATGCGGCAGATCTCTGAATCGGAAACAGATAGGATAACACGGTGGTGTATAGACCGTCTAAGCCTGCCGTTTCATGGACCTTGCCCTCTATCAGGAGGTTGTATCGATCCAAGGGCTCCAATCCAGTGATGCCCAGACCTATGATAAATGTGCAGGCAACGGATGCCCACTGAAATAGTCCCTCGCATCTGGACACAAGCGCGCTTTTGCGTGCATCATCAATAACACTGTAACTGGGACCGCTCAGACGATTGTGAATGTATGCTGTGATATCGAGCTCAGTCAACTGAGGGGAGATATCCTGCATTCTCTTCAGAATCATGTGGGCATTCGGTTTGAACAGACGCTCGACATCTGCCTCAGGACGGGAGGTGAGGAGGATGCGGACACTGGAAGGGAGATCTGCCATCTTGCTCACGAGTAGCTCAAGAAGCCCTTGGCGAGATGGAACATCGCCACATTCATCCAAAGCATCGATGACTATGACAAGGGGACCTGTGAGTGTGAGTTCCTGTAGTGGCTTCAGTATAAAGTTGTCGAACTGCAGAGCAATCTGCGACGTGGTCCGGAGTGCCGTTTGATACTGGACAATGCCCCACAGCGCGCGTTTTATGCGCTTGTCAAAGTCGGCCAGATCGCGAGCCATATGGGGAAACAGCTTGTCAGGACCGCGCCCAGCCTCACCACGGATGAAGCAAAAGGATGATCCAAGACGATGAAGGTCGTTGAACTGCTGAGCGATGGTGTGTGCAATGGCTGATTTCCCGGTCCCTGCGGCGCCCGAAAGCAGGAGAACGCGGTGAGTGTCGTCCGAATTGATCCAATCTGCGATCTCGTCCAAAATCGCCACGCGAGTTCCTGGCTGACACCCCTTGTTCGGACCGAAGCTGGCCCCGCTCGTGTATCCGATTTCCTTCAAGTCAGTTTCGATCACTACACGACGAGCTCGGGGTCAGCCAGATATCAAAAATTGGCCATCGCGTTTTGCGTACTGATTTCCTCCGTATCACTCAGGATATGCTCTACTCCGTCGAGAATATGGTCCACTTTGTCGAGAATACGTACAGTGACAATCTGAGTTTGAACCGCCACTCCAGTATGGAATGCATGCTCGAGCTCAACGAACACCTCACAGAATTCGTTGATTGTATCATCCGTCGATGAAAGTGCATGCTTGACTGTTCGCCTCACTATGAAGAGAGGGGGAATTGGCAGATAGTGGCGTGCGATGAAGAATCAAACTCACAGAAGCCCTCGGTCTTCACATACTCAGATATGAAGTAGTAGCACTCCGTGGTCTGTCGAGCAATCCGGATGAATAGGTCTTGTAGCAATCCGGCCTTCTCGGGCTTGGCCTCGAATTCCGTCTTCAAATCATTCACAATACTGTAGAATGATTTCATTGTATTGAACAGTTTCAAAATGTTGGTGTCTCGGTCCATCTGTTTCTGGACGATCTTTGCAACCAACAAGCTCTGTCAGCATCGCCACGATATCTGTCGAAACTGATCAGAAACACACCTTTACGGGTAATGACAGGATGCTCATGGCCATCTTGGCGTACGGATGTACCTAACATATCATATAAGCGTCCTGTCGTTGTGATGTGCAAGACATACTTCTGCGAGCTTGTCCGTGAACTCGCAAAAGATCTTGATGTTATCGAAGAAAGGCTTCCATGTCGTGAGAAAATCGCTATTCTCCGAAGGCATAGAGCTTGCGCCATTGACGACGGTGCTGACAGGTCGTGAAAGCGAGTGCATCTGAGATACATTATGCTCGAGGTCCGCGAAGTTGACATCCAACGTCTCTGGGATCGCATCTGTATATATTTCCTGCACGGTTTCTGGTGCCGGTAGGTTCTCAATGGGATGCTGTTCCTTTATACTTTTATCTTGTACTTCGATTCCGATGCGTAAGACAATACGGGCACCAGATTCTCCTGAGATGGTCTTGGTCACGTCTGAGAGATGTAAGTATCGCGAAAGAGATCTCATATTACATAAACACGGACGAACCTTGTGGGCTGCCTTCGAGTATCGAAGGATGTAAAGCCGATAATAATTCCGAGATGGAGCCGATGTGCAGATCCTTGCGCATTTTGCGACGAGCAAAGATGTCGATTCTGAGAGTCGAATTTGGATGGGCATTACTAACCGGCGCAGTCAGTAACGAGGATAGAGAAAAATATCAAATGACATTCGTACAAGGAGAAAAGTTGGTTCCAGGCTGGGGTGCTGCTCCGGCGAGCGACCTTCGTCTCTTTCCTCTCCCCGCCGATCGTCATGACGGCATAGAATTTTCCGTCGACTTTCAGAGTGCGATTGAGGCTATCGACTCTGGGTAGACCAATAGCGCGGATCACTGTGGGGATGCTAACCGTGAGGAGGCCGCGCGTCGACCAAGCCATTCGCTCTCACCTCTGACATTCAACCCTATCTTCTGCTGGAGTTTTGAGGGCTCACTGGAGTTGAATGACGAAGAATCATAAACATGCACGGCGAAGTAAATAATTGACAAAACTCACGGCGGTGCTAGGGACGACATCGTCAGGGTGGACATGCTAGTGAGAGGTTAATTGAGGGCCTCGTGTGTGGGCACCCACAAGGACCCATAACCGCGCGCTGATGAACACGTGGAAAACGGGCCTTTTACTTTGACAAGTGAGCGCACCCGATTGGGAGCGAATAGAAGATACCAAATTGGGTTGGGCGCTTCTACCGATAGGAGTCATTGTGTCTCTGCTGCTTTGCTCGCATTCGCTCTTCCCCCGTCTCCATCAGAGTCTGCGCCAAGTGAGCAATGTACGATATATGATTTTCCGCTGGTCTATGAGGACTAAGGGGTGAGCAACTATACTCGTTGCAAGACGCAACGTGATGCGGCAGAAGGGTAGGTAGAAGGACGGAACAAGGTGGACTATACATGTGCATTGGCGTTGGTATCTGGACTGAGAAAGATAATACACGAACGAGCGGTGAAACAGGAAGGGAAGAAAGGGAAGAAAAGGGACAACGGGAGCAACAGAGAAGGAAGGCAAGCAAGTAATAACAACGTGCACGATCCAGACAAGCGCAGCGGATGAGGGATTTCGAGAAAGCAAATGGAGACAATGTGCACAAGAAAGAAGTGAGAGAGATGACGTACATAGTTTTATTGCGCCCGATCTTCAGTCCGTCGGTACAGAGGTGTTAGCCCTGCATAGCCCTGCATCCGGTCGAGATATACTCGCGGTGACTCGTAGGCCGTGTGCCTGTCCTCGATACCATCAATGGACACGCATCTATACAGACGCACAGACGCATGTGCTCATCCAACGCTCGCACCTGCCAATTCACTCGCATCTATACCAAGGCTTCGATATTCAGGATGATGTCGATGAGGATGGCGATGCGAAGTGGGAGGTGAGGCGGTAACAGATCCCAGGAGGTAAGTCATATCCCATCGGTGATGATAAGCACTGGTCGCCAATATTTTATGCGCGGCTATGACATTCTGCGCTCGCCGCTGCCTGTTGCCCACAAGGAGAAGCAAGTCTTTCTATCGATTAGGCATACCAGCTGAGGTAGCGCTCGGAGCTGCGATGGGGCCCAATTGTACCGCCGACTAACGCCGAATCGGGTGGGTGCGCAAGACAGCGGTTACGAACCGTCTCTTGCTTGAAAGGCAAAAATCATTTGGAGGAAGAGTTCGTTCAGGACCAAACCCTCTTCAAGACCTATCCAGAAGAGTCCGTGCGACAGCTGCCGCACTGTTTCACTCCCCGAGGTCTGCGCCGGCATCTGCGCGTTCCAAAGACCCCTGGCATATTCAAACTACTCACTGAGATGGCAGATCTCGCACGTATCGGATCAACTTGCGGCACCTCTTGCATAGGAGACGCAGACAAGACGCGAGCAGACGTGGTGGATTAAACCAAGTCAGGAGAATGTAGACTGGAAATATACGCACGACATGTTCCCGCCTTCGATCGCGACGACATTCCTGTACCGTCACTACCTGACATCGGCCTGTGGTCCCAAGGCGGAGCGGTAAGTACGGCGTGAGATGGTCAAGGACCAAAAAAGCCAAGAAAAAAAAGAGGAGACACAGGGATACATTTATGTCTGTATCAAACCAGAGAGGTTTTTGGCTGGTGACGGTATGCAAACAAGCGCAGTAATCATAAAAAAAAGGTGAAAATTGAGCAGAGGATGGAACACCAGGGACAGGTGCAAGAGGTGAAAGATCCTGCGAGAGACAGTGAAGCAAGGGGCACCATGGATGCATACACGAGGAAGAAGGAAGAAATAGAAAAAGACGTCAAAGGTCGAACGCACGTGGATCTTGCACAGGAGTGAGGCCGAGCTGCGTGCGCATGTAGAGAAGTGCGGACGGTCAAACCCGTCATGGCGGAAGACCAGCGGGGAGGCAGGCGCGGTGCGGGAAGGAGCGCGTGGGAGTTACAACACAATGCATGAGTGCGAGACCCTCTATCAGTATTGGGTCAATGTGGACCAAAAACGAAAGAAAAAAGTTTAGGCTGAGGCAGGATGTACGAGTCTTGCCGAGAGAGGTGTCAGAAAGGGAACGGCTGAGATTTGGGGTCAGCCCCTGACGACCGCACACACATCTTTTCACGCTTTTATGCATGCGATGAACGAGTACGCCTGCGCCCATTCGTAGGCGGTACTCCTGTCCTCCGCATCCCCTCGGTACGTGGAAACGCACGTGTATGCTGCTTAAGCGTCCTGTGGGACCATTTCTTCAATCAAGCTCCGATACCGTTGCTCTCCGATCCTGAAGCAGCGTCTTGACTAAGTCTCTTGCTGCTCAAGCATACATTGTAAAAAGATGCACGTGTTGCCTCAAAGACGGTGCTGCAAAGGTATTGCAGTGGTGGACGGGGACCTTGGATGCAGGGAAAGGGTCGCTTGCCCGTTTGGGCTAGCCAGCCAAAAGGACATCAAGACCGCCAAGGTCAGCGAACTTGAAGCAGCATAGAATTGAACTGGGAGCGGGCGCTCACAGAGAGACTCGTGCAACTCCTCGAATGGAGCTGTCCCAGTGCTTAGCTTGTGGACGGCCGCGCAATGAGCGAGAATCCGCGTGAGCGCGTCGGGATCGCTCTTTATAGAATTAGGCCGAAGGGAAGAGGACCGCAAGTCCGCGTCGAACAGGGAGAGCCGGGGCGGAGAGGGCGTCACATCGGCGGTCGTGCAGTTGAACGGGCGAGTGACGTATGCAGGGAGCGAAAACTCGTCGGCGGGTGACGCGCGTTGAGATCGCACCGAGGCAGCATTCCTCACTCGAGAAATTAGAGGGCTCGTTGACGCAGCGCCAGACATTATCCAGACCGCACGGGCGCACGATGGCCGTGGGAATCGCTTACGCTCGACTTGACCAACTCCGGCGACCAGCTTTGTCATGGCCTGGCATCGTGAGCACAGGCCGTCTCGAGTTGCATTGGTGACCATGGTCTCTCACAAGGCCATCGAGATTTGCCGCCAATCGTCAGCAAAGACATCTACCGTTGCAAATCTCGTACTATCTCTGTGTTCTGCTCCTCATATGAGCCTCTTGCGCTTATTTTGATCCACAGCTCCTACCCGTAAGGTTTTCTTGGCCCCAGCGACGTACAACGGGGTGTATTCTTCCCTCCAACAGCAGCTGGCATCTGCCTCTTGACAGAGTGCTCTGAGCGACGCGATCAAGGCATCTGGCTAAAACTCAGGACTCCCTTCTTCTGGACCCAGTGCAGGGCACACGAATGCGAACTCCCACAGCCCCTACGCATGCAACCTCCGCCATCGAGGCGCAGCGCATGCTCAGAAGCATCCCGTCGCTGCAGCCCCGTGCATTTAGCCCTCCGTACACGCATATATGCTCTCAAATTAGTAATTCGGGCACCATTTGCGTCGTCGCATGTGAGGCTGGCGACGCCGTATTGAGCCCTGCTGAAGACAGGCTGGAAGAATGTGGACAGAGTATATGTGTTGATGCTCTGGAGCACGACGCAAGCGATGGGCTTTGATCTTGCGGCGTCTGATAGACTGATGAACGAGAGCGAGCTGGGAACAAGAAGCGTGACCCACGCGGAGGACATGCTAAGAAGAACTGAGGAGTGAAGCAGTGCGGACGGTGTAAATGAGAAAAATAAAAGCGAATACGGAGCAAACGTTTACGATTCGATGACGCTGAACATACTGCACATCAGTAAGTCAGCGCAGGAGACGGAGACGTCCAACCATTGGTATTTCAGCTTACGAGTGTGTGCGAGTCCCAGCCCGCTATAGCAACCGTGACTGATCTGCTATGAAAACGTAAGCGAAAGATCACATTTTGCATACAGGACCCCTGGAACAGTTCTCAGATACTCAATTATATATATCATTGTCTAGTATCCAATACTCGAGGGCAGACTTGATGAGAGACAATCCAGGGGCAGCAAGCATCAAATTATAGATGAGATGTTTGTTTATTGATCCTCAATTTCAAACCAATAAGCTAATACATTGGCCGAGGATGAGCTAAAAGATATGATCAACACCCAGTAGACATGTGAACTTGTACACAAGCTGGGCAATGTCGCATGCAGATGCGAGCACAGTGATGCACTAGTCAACCATATGGTCCGGGCATGCAGAGAGGTAGAGCAAGCTGTGGGCGGCAGTGCGGCAGCAGTGCCTGACATGGATGAGGGCAGAGAGGTCATATGGGGCGACGTGCATGTAGACAAGGCTGAGTGGGATGGGGAACATTTTGCACATGTTGCGGAGGATTGAGGGGAGAGAGCATGCAAGGGCATTTCTGGCTGGACATCACCAAGCTCGTGTATGAGTCTATATGTCTACTAGGTGTTGATCATATCTTCGAGCTCATCCTCGACCAATGTATTAGCTTATTGGTTTGAAGTTAAGGATCAATAAACAAACATCTCATCTATAATTTGATGCTTGCTGCCCCTGGATTGTCTCCCACCAAGTCTGCCCTCAAGTATTGGATACTAGACAATGATATATATAACTGAGTATCTGAGAACCATTCCAGGGGTCCTGTATGCAAAATGTGATCTTCTGCTTATGTTTTTATATCAGATCACTCACGGTTGCCATAGCCTGCCATTGATGTTTAACTTGAAGCAATAGCAATTGTGAGTGAATTAACAGGTGTGTGTAGGAGTCGATAAATTCACAAGAGAAATGCCAGGTCCCACAAGGGATGCTTTTGGAAAGAATGCATGATATGTATCTGTGTTGTATTTTGGATACCAAGTGATACCCAGCAAAGTGAGCATGGAAAATGGGGAGAGTAAGAATGAAAACAGAGGCTTACAGTGAGACTGGTATAGGGTATAGTCCCCAGTGCTCAGCTTGTGTAGGCTGTGCAATTGTGAGGATCCACATAAGCATGTCAGGCTAAGTCTTGCTGGACATCGGCCAAAGGAAAGGACACTGTCAGTGCTAGAGGAGACAAGGCAGAGCAGGAGATGCATTGAAAAAGGAGAGGCAAGAGAGCATCTGGAAAACCACCCCTTTGTATTAAGGTCTGATTAGTTCTATTTATGCATAATTATGAAAGATTAGGATTAGACATTTTTAGCTTACCCCCTCTCTAAACCTGTTCTAATTAGACATAATTTTCCTAAATTAGGAATTATTAGGATTGATTATAACTTGAAATTTCGGAAAAATTATTATAAATCAAGCATCACAGTTCTCATAGCCTTCTTATAAAGTCATGTCTATTAGAGCACTAGTTAAATACCTAAACACAAAATATACCTTATAACAAACTTGCCTTCTGCCAGAGTTAAACCAACAACCTCATGTATGCAAGCACCCAGGACAGATGCTCTAAGCCACTAAGCCACAAGGTCTAAGATATAAACTTGGTAATCCTAATAAGTAGACATAATATAGGCAACCTCAACATCTCTGATTTTATTCAACATTTATCTTTCCTCTATCTTGTAAATAAATAGGTCAATAAATACCTAAAAAGTCAGGTCTTTCAGGATTTAGTTTAAACACCAGCTAAGAAGATAATAACCCAATGGAAAATCAATAATACACTTTATAGAGGATAAAAATAAATTATGGCACTTATACAATTTGGACTGAGAATGTGTAAAACTATGATTGAGTGTAATATTCAATGGGACTCTACTAATATAGACAATGCTACCTAAATTTGCAAATTTGATCAAAAACATGATTATGAATAATCAAGATCCAATAAGAGAGAGGGGCTTTCCAAATAGCCACTAGTGAGGTAGAGGGTGGGGACAAGAGTATATGTATGGCATGCCTATATATAAATAAGCACAAGATTGTTGGAGGTGATCTTAATATGCTTAATGCATATATTTCCTATATGGCAGGCAAATATATCATTCTGGCACCACATACCAATATGACTGTCTTTTCCACAGCCTAATAGCTAGAGGAAAACACCAAGTTTGAGCATCTTCTGTATAACAAGGCAATAAACAATATAAATAGTGCTAAAAATTGTAATATCAATAGTAACAACAATTGTGTGCTGCACAAGACAGTATTAACCACTGTACTAATAGACAAGGTCTACAAGGCTGTATATAGCATATCCCTAAGTCCAACCCCCATGTTGTGTCCTATAATGACCAGTAGCAAGCATTGGCTAACAATGACAACTTTAATGATATTGTATGCAAGGCCAAGGTACTTAGGTCTTCATAGCCTCTTGTGGCAGCTGCCAAGCTGCCAACAAAGTGGCTGGGGGCATCAATGTACATTTCTTGCTTCTATATCCCTTATAAAAGCAGGTGGAAATTCAGCAAAAGAGCTACAAGATAATGGTATAGGCATATATGAAGGAGAGTAATATGCTGAAATAGTATAGAATGTGCCACATCTTTACCTTCTCACTGAAAAAGCAGTAGTACTTACTATTTCCTACTGATAATTAAAGACTTCTTAGTATAGAATTAGTGCTAATATCATGAAATTAGAAACCAATCCAATGCTCACAATGTGTTGCTCCCAATTAGGAAATTAGACACTTTTAGATACTATTAACACTTTTAGATACTTTTAGACACTGTTAGATATAATCCGGAGCTAATGCAAGGTAGTTTTCCAGATGTTCTGGCTACCATGTCCTAGGTGCAACCACAATCCAAGGTCTGCTAGACTTTTTTTTTTTCAGAAGCCTTTCTCATCCATCCACTGCTTGATGCAATGGAAAGGCATAGACTCATGGGTGGAAATCATGCATGACTGGCAGTATTGATATATCTGGAAAAACACCACCTTGCATTAGCTCCGGATTATATCTAATAGTGTCTAAAAGTATCTAAAAGTGTTAATAGTATCTAAAAGTGTCTAATTTCCTAATTGGGAGCAACACATTGTGAGCATTGGATTGGTTTCTAATTTCATGATATTAGCACTAATTCTATACTAAGAAGTCTTTAATTATCAGTAGGAAATAGTAAGTACTACTGCTCTATCAGTGAGAAGGTAAAGATGTGGCACATTCTATACTATTTCAGCATATTACTCTCCTTCATATATGCCTATACCATTATCTTGTAGCTCTTTTGCTGAATTTCCACCTGCTTTTATAAGGGATATAGAAGCAAGAAATGTACATTGATGCCCCCAGCCACTTTGTTGGCAGCTTGGCAGCTGCCACAAGAGGCTATGAAGACCTAAGTACCTTGGCCTTGCATACAATATCATTAAAGTTGTCATTGTTAGCCAATGCTTGCTACTGGTCATTATAGGACACAACATGGGGGTTGGACTTAGGGATATGCTATATACAGCCTTGTAGACCTTGTCTATTAGTACAGTGGTTAATACTGTCTTGTGCAGCACACAATTGTTGTTACTATTGATATTACAATTTTTAGCACTATTTATATTGTTTATTGCCTTGTTATACAGAAGATGCTCAAACTTGGTGTTTTCCTCTAGCTATTAGGCTGTGGAAAAGACAGTCATATTGGTATGTGGTGCCAGAATAATATATTTGCCTGCCATATAGGAAATATATGCATTAAGCATATTAAGATCACCTCCAACAATCTTGTGCTTATTTATATATAGGCATGCCATACATATACTCTTGTCCCCACCCTCTACCTCACTAGTGGCTATTTGGAAAGCCCCTCTCTCTTATTGGATCTTGATTATTCATAATCATGTTTTTGATCAAATTTGCAAATTTAGGTAGCATTGTCTATATTAGTAGAGTCCCATTGAATATTACACTCAATCATAGTTTTACACATTCTCAGTCCAAATTGTATAAGTGCCATAATTTATTTTTATCCTCTATAAAGTGTATTATTGATTTTCCATTGGGTTATTATCTTCTTAGCTGGTGTTTAAACTAAATCCTGAAAGACCTGACTTTTTAGGTATTTATTGACCTATTTATTTACAAGATAGAGGAAAGATAAATGTTGAATAAAATCAGAGATGTTGAGGTTGCCTATATTATGTCTACTTATTAGGATTACCAAGTTTATATCTTAGACCTTGTGGCTTAGTGGCTTAGAGCATCTGTCCTGGGTGCTTGCATACATGAGGTTGTTGGTTTAACTCTGGCAGAAGGCAAGTTTGTTATAAGGTATATTTTGTGTTTAGGTATTTAACTAGTGCTCTAATAGACATGACTTTATAAGAAGGCTATGAGAACTGTGATGCTTGATTTATAATAATTTTTCCGAAATTTCAAGTTATAATCAATCCTAATAATTCCTAATTTAGGAAAATTATGTCTAATTAGAACAGGTTTAGAGAGGGGGTAAGCTAAAAATGTCTAATCTTAATCTTTCATAATTATGCATAAATAGAACTAATCAGACCTTAATACAAAGGGGTGGTTTTCCAGATGATATGATTCATCGAAAGCCTCAGTGCTTCTATTCTCATGAGACAGAATTAATAGTTTAAATAAAACATATATAATCACGCCAGGTTTGAACTTGCAACCTCGTGAGTGGGTAAAATTTTATTGTGGCAACATAACCACTATACTAAC